AGGGATGTGAAGGGTAAACAAAGGAGGAGGCTGCAATACTTGATAAGAAATGTATGCATTATCTTGCCCATGTAATTGTAACCCCTCTGTACAGTATGTTCACAAAAAATAAAAATTAAAAAAAAAAGAAAATAAATAGGACATTGGGGAGGAGATGAATACAGCAGGGTAAATGGAAAGAGAGGGCCTGGCTTCTATGTGTGCTCAGGTGGCCCTGTGAGAAAAGAGTCTTCCCTGGTTAAAGAGAGAGATAGACAGTCAAACGGACATACTCAGGGGAAGGGAAATGAGACCTGTAGTGTTATATATTCAGGAAGAGGGAGCACTTAGTACAGACTTGAGAAGGGAGTGGCGTCCACATCCAATAGATGGAAGATTTGACAAAGAACAGGTCAGCCAAAGCCATGCTTTCTTCCCTCTGTGCTACCATGGCCACTTCACAGTCTCACCTGTCTGCACACACTTTGCTTTGGTAAATCTGAGCCCGTCCACTGGCTTCCTCAAGAGGCACTTCTATAGGCTCCATCCCTAACGAACAAAGATAAAGACACATCTATCATCATATAAATGAGCATCTGTGTAAGTCAACGCTCATTATCCATAGATATGTAAGACTCTGAATGGCACTGGAATTTGGTTAGATCACAAAAGTGTCATTATAACATGGCGATTTTCTTCCTCATTATCTGTGCCACCTACAGGCAGTGCCTTGAATCTCTTTCTCATGGAAGATCATACACTGGAGCTGTCACATTCACAGACCCAGGGATGCTCTGTAAAGGACTTGGAAACATTATTCTGTTCCATATGACTTCACGTGCTGAGATCATCGTTCTCTATGCTATTCTTTAGAAATGGACAGACTGGCATAAAAGCTCAACCTATAAAGATATCAGCATAGAGTGTCAACTCTCATTGCCCCTGGGAGTCAACATCAAATTGGATCACTGTACTGATCACCAGAACTGCTTTTTTAAAAGATTCTAGGTCAATGGGGATGGAAAACTATTCATTTTCCCTCTGTGTGTGTGTGTGTGTGTGTGTGTGTGTGTGTGTGTTGTGTGTGTGTGTGTGTAACATGTATTCTATAAAAATAACTAAATGTTAATATCCTGGGTATATGATCTTGAATAAAGGGTACCATAGCCAACTGTGTGTGGCTCATGCTTATAATCCTGACTACTTTAGAGGCTGAGGTCAAGGAGCATCATGGTTCCAGGCCAGCCCAGGCAGAAAGGTTGTAAAATTCCATCTTAACAAATAAAAGCTAGGCATGGTAGAGCACACTTGTTATCCAAACTGTGGCAGGACACATAAATAGGAGAAATATGTTCTAGGCCAGTTGAGACTCTGTCTCAAAAATAATCAGAGCAAAAAGGCTGAGAGATATGGCTCAAATAGAGAGTGCCCAAGAGTGCAAGGCCCCACAACCACCAGCACCAAAAAAAAGTCACATACCATATGATTCTTACATTATATTCTCAAAAAGGATAAAACTATAGTGATAGAGAACATATTTCTGATTGCCAGGCATTAGAGGCGGAAGGGAGACCACAAAGGGTTAGCACACTGGAGTTCTCCAGAGGTGATGAAGCTGCTTTGTATTTTTACATGATATACTCATGTTAAGATTCCTACAGGAGCACAAAAGACAAAGAACAGCCCAATGATCTGGAAAAACTGCAGTATCAAGACTTGTTTTGTAACTCTAGTAATATTGGCCTATTGGCTCAGTGCAAACTTAACCATGGGAACACAAGAAACACAATCATGAATATAGAACAAAACAAAGTGGTATAGCACAGAAGTTCAGCTGCAGGTTAAGGAGGAATTTAGATTATTTTTTTCAGTAAATAGAGACTGAACCCAGGGTTTTGTGCATCCTGAGCAAAGTCTTTACCATTTGTCCCATACCCTCATATGGTAGAAAGCATGTTTCATTTTGTTTTTGAGACAGGGTCTTAGCTTTCCTCAGCCAGCCTCAAACTCCTGATTCTTCTAACCCTGACTTCTAAGTAGCTACTATTACATGTTTGTGCCACCACACCCAGCCCAAAATTGGAATATTCTATCAATGGTAGATTGAATGGGAAAAAAAGATGACTAGGATCCAGGAGAGGTATACAGAGAACTTCAGCTAGATCTGTAATGTTACTGTTATTTTTATTTTTTATAAAGAAAGAGGAACTATAAGAAGAGAAAGTAAAGGAAATATGGCCACATGTTGAACATGTTAAAGCCAGATGCTATCATTGCGTTATATTGTTCTCCATACCTACTAGTCAATTATAGCAGCCACTACCATATGTGACTCTTTAGATTAATTAAAATTACATAAAATTGAAAATGCGGGTTTGGTGTCCTGTCAGCTCTCTACCACTGAGCCACATTCCCAGCCCTCAATTTTTTTATGTTAGACAGCTTACAAAAAAAATAAAAGTCAGCCAGAAAATATTAAAGCCTGAAATACATGTTATAATGAGGGAAGGAGAAAAAGGATGTAAGTGTAAACAATATCATATCATTTCAAGTACATACATCTTTATTTCCTATGCATGCATGAATGTATGTATGTATGCACGCATGCCTTTTCTCAGAGACAGGGTCTCACAGCCCATCAAGCTGGGCTTAGACTTGTGAACCTTCTGCTCAGCCTGCAAAGGGCTAATATTCCACCCTTATCCCATATTTACCTCTTCCTTCCTGATTGGTTGGTTGGATTAGTACCTCTCTTCCAGATATTTTCCAACATAAAAGGAAAACAAACTTTTCTGGGGGGCTCATTGTGGGGCTTGAACTCAGAGGCCTGAGTTCTGTTCAAGGCTAGCACTCTACCACTTTAAGCCACAGCTCCACTTCCAGTTTTCTGGTGGTTAACTGGAGATAAGGGTCTCACAGACTTTCCTGCCCAGGCTGGCTTTGAACTGTGAGCCTGAGATCTCCTAAGTAGCTAGGATTATAGGCTTGAGCCACCAGCACCCAGAAACAAACTTTCTGTTGTCTCTCTAGACACCATTTTACTTACTTTAGGTAAGTGTAATATTTGGTAGACAAAAGGACATTATTTTGGTTGTATCAGAGTGTGATCACCACCCTCAATAGCTGCTCTGTAGAAATGAAGCCTTTTGATACCTTCGGCTTTGATGACCATGCGCCCCTCCTGCAAGTCAATGGAAGGCCGGATCAGGCAGAGCCGTGGCTCCTGCTTCTGATTCAGGCAAACCCCATTGTGGTTCACAATCATCCAGCTCCGATCGTACAGCAGCCCTTGGTTTCCTACAGGCCACTTGGTCACCTACACAAAAGGGAGGTTATGTTTTAGGCCAAGGCTCTTCAAAGATAATCTTCACATTATTGCAGAGATACAGGCAGAGTTCATGAATTTCCATATACCCCTGAAGGAAGAGTGGCGGAAATGAACATAAAACCAAGATGTCAGCGCAAAAAGGATAGCATGGGAATGAGCTGCCTTCTTTTCAGCTTCTCCTCTTCTCCTCTTCAGCTTGTGCTCTAGGTGGGGAAGACACATGAATGCCTGGCATTTAGAGAGTGCAAGAGTCTACAGTGGAAAACAGGTATCTGTTCTATTTGATCTCCAGCTCCCTTCCTGTGGGCTCCTGCTTTCTGTATATCTTTCTGCTGCGGTGGAGCCCTGTCTAGACATGTGTCTTGAACAAACTGGGGCTGTTAAAATAGCCATCAAGTTGGTCTACTTTAAGTGTGTACATTTCCCTAAATTCTTCATATTTTTCTTTTTTGTTGTTGTTGGTTGTGGGGCTTGAACTCTGAGCTTGGGTGCTGTCCCTCTGCTCTTCAGCTCAAGTCAAGCGAAGTGTTCTACCACTTAAGCCACAGCACCACCTCCAGTTTTCTGGTGGTTTATTGGAGATAAGAGTCTCATGGACTTTCCTGCCTGGGCTGGCTTTGAGCTGCCATCCTCAGATCTCAGCCTCCTGAGTAGCTAGGATTACAGGCGTGAGCCACCGGCTCCCAGCTAATTCTTCATATTTCTATGCACTTAAAATACAAATTATAGCCAGTAGTCTGACCTTGCTTTGTTAATAACATTCTTCAATATAAAGAAGTAGAAGTTCTTGAAGAATTGGTTCAAGAAAAATAAATAAATAAGCCCTCATCAAGTCTCGTGCTGCAATTGTAACTATGGGCCACAATGCTATTCTTCCCTCCTTGTGCATGTTCTACAGAACAAGACCCACTTGTGAAAATACAGTGTGTCTCTCCAACAGGAGCATGGATCCCTCACCTACCTCTGCTAGGAGCAGTGGAAACTTAGTTGTTTATGGCCTCAGTCTGGAGGTCAGTCTCCTATAGGACTACCCTGAAATACAGGTCAATCAATAGCCATGGTCTAGCTATGCCCAATGAGAATCCAGAGAGCCTGTTGTCCCTGAGACTCAGAAGTCCGGGACATGGGGCACATGCAGATTGTAGAAAGAGAGCCTGAGGTTAGCCACAGGCAGGAGGGTAGCTTCTAGGAGAGGAAAGGTAACTGACGGCTAGCCATGACAGGCTTCTCATTAAACTCCCATCAGGATTACTGAGCCAGCATACTTGCAGATATGGTATTATATCATCAATCAGGGGATTGATACTAGGGCCTTCTTCACTGATAGCAAAATCAGTGGATGCTCAAGTCTCTTATTTCAAATGGTTTAGCACTTTTATATAAGTTGCAAATACTACATATATGCACATCCTATATTTACTATATACTCTCTATGTCTACATCACTTATACCACCTAACACAATGTAAATATTAAATACATAGTTCTACTACATTATTTGTGGAATAATAACAAAAAAGAAAGGGTGTGTATACATTTCAGTACAGATGCCATTTTTTCACATTTTTGATCCATGCTTGGTTGAATCCATAAATGAATAGATCATAGATATGCAGATCTGACCATAGTTTAGTTCTACAAGGAGGACTAAGCAGATCAATTAATGTAAGTAATTACATGAGAGTCAGCACATCCATGGTCAGGTCCTTGCTCTGTCTGGGATATAGTGGATACCTAACAAACACAAGGCCCTGATTTCAAACCCTAGTACCATCAAATGATCACTCTGTTGTTTACTATCAGCTGGCCTGGGCAAAGTGTTTAACCTCAGGCTGCAAGCCTATAAAATAGGGAACATGTTATCCTTCACCTCATGTGGCTGCTTTAACAATCCAATGAAATGAAGGTATGGCGAATGCTACAGTGAGGAACCAGCACCTACATGCAGTGAAAGTTACAGCTATAATTAATACCAGTGACTCAGAGTCAGGGTCTTCTCAGTAAGCAGCGTCATATTCAAAACTTAGCCCATACCAAAAAAGGCTGAATGAGAGTGGGATTTTTTGGTACCACAATGGGTTGCTTTATGATTTTTATAGTGATTTTTTATTTCCCCATGCTTTGCTTCCCACATTTTTATCACAAAAGAAAAGAACAGGAAAGAAAGAAAGAAAGAAAGAAAGAAAGAAAGAAAGAAAGAAAGAAAGAAAGAAAGAAAGAAAGAAAGAAAGAAAGAAAGAAAGAAAGAGGAAACAAAAAGCTGTCATTTCTGCATGTGCTGCAGTGAAAGCCCTTACCTCAAATGCAGCACAGGATTTGATAGGGTAAAGGCAAATTTTGGTGACAACAGGTAGCTCAGGGTCCCTATTCAGGCCACCTTCAGGTTCCTCCACAGGGGACTGCCAGGTGCTGGAGGCTTCCCTCAGAGGTGGGTGCAAAGGGTGTGAGTTGTTCCAACTCCTGGAGTCTGCGTGGTCGTCTTCCTCAGGTGAGAGACAGCGACTGTTGGTAATGGCATGCTCATCCTGGGCCTTGTCCTCTGTTGATTTGGCTCCAGGCTCTCCAGTTCTGGCCTTGGAAACAGACTGTCCACCTGAGGAGTGAAGGGAGATGGCTTTGATGAACTTGAGAAAGGCCTCAGCATCCTCCACAGTGGACATGTATCCAAAGGAAATCCTCACAGAACCCGTAGGCTGTCCATCTATGAGGTCAATGTGGTCACCACAGACATGCCCAGCCTAGAACAAAAGGGAGATAAGATAGTCAGATGGACTCATGTCTCATGAATTAGTTAGAAACAGTTTTATAAAGCAAATTGTGCCTATTTTAAAATTAGTGTAGGAAAACAGACTTGCAACACCAAAGTGCTATGTATCTGAGACAGTTCAAGCAATGCTTGCTCAGAGGTCCAATTCCTAGACGTCCCATTGATTGGTTGTGAGTTGGAGCCAATTAAAAAGTTTAAGAGAACTACTTCATGGAAAGCATTTATTCAGAGGGGGTCAAAAGACAGACCATGGCAGGAGCTGATGGCTCATGCCTGTCATCCTAGCTACTCAAGAAACTGAGATCTGAGGTTCCAAAGCCAGCCCAAACATATTAAACCAAGAGACTCTTGCTTCCAATTAACCAACAAATAAAGCCACAGATGAAGCTGTTGCTCAAATAGCAGAGCACAAGCCTTGAAGGAGAAAACTAAGGAATAGCACTCAGGTCTTGTGTTCAAGCCCAAGTAACATACATACATACATAGATAAACAGATACACACAGATATACAGACAGACAGACAGACAGATGGAGACAGGTCATGGGGAAGAATGCTGGAATATGGTACACTGATGAAAATTGTACTCATAAATTGATATGTTGAACTGAATCCCCTTTATACAACTAAAGATAATTAATTTTTAAGATATATTTACTTATACACTGATTGGTTGAACCCCTTTATACAACTACTCACAGATAATAAAAACAAAAGATAGACCAAGTCTCAAAAGCACTGAGAGGTTAGGGTCTGCCCAGTGCTTATGCGCTCTCTCTCTCTCTCTCTCCCTCCCTCCCTCCCTCCCTCCCTTCCTCCCTCCCTCCCTCTTTCTCCAGAGCTGCCCTTAAAGAAGGGAAAAAGCAGATAGGCTGGCCCTAGTAGTAGACCTAAGCACTACTTCTAGAATTGGGGGAAAAAGTCTTCAAATCCACCTGCCTGTTATTGGTAAGTTTGTCAGTGTGGTACTGTTGTTCAGAATACATGCCCAGTGCTAATCCTAGGCTAGTCCCCAAAGAGATGGAACAATCAAATGTATGTTGAGCTGCATGTATTATGCTTGAACTATTCTCACACTCTCTCCCTCATCTCTATCCCCTCCTTCTCCTTCTCTCCCACTCTTTTTATAAATAAAATCCAGTTTAGGGTTAGCTGGATCTAGTACATCCAATAGCCAATGTCAACTAAAAGAAACTCAAATAAGAAACTATTCCAAAATTCATAAGGGTCCAAACTATACTTGTAAAATAGTTCAAAATACAATGTAAGTAGAGAAATCTCAGCTCAAATAGAGATGGGGAGGGCAGGGATTCTAGGAGACACAGACTGCCCCAAAGCAAGGAAGAGTGCCAATCTCCCCAACCCAGAGGGAGAGCAATTGCCCCTAGGAGATTGCCTTCAAGGAAGACAAACTACTTTAGGACATCTTCTAGAACATCCTTTTGTTAACAGTGCCCTTTCTTTCCAATTTTACCCTCAAATTAAAAAAATGAATCAGAAAATTCTGCCACAGAGAAATCTTAAAAGTATTTTCTAGGGCTGGGAATGTGACTTAGTGGTAGAGTGTTTGCCTACCATCTATGAAGCCCTGGATTTGGTTCCTCATCACCATAAAAGCAGAAAAAGCCAGAAGTGGTGCTGTGGCTCAAGTGGTAGAGTGCTAGTCTTGAGCAAAAGAAGCTCAGGGACAGTGCCCGGACCCTGAGTTCAAGGCCCAAGACTGACTAAATAAATAAATAAAAGTATTTTTTATTATCAACTCTCTTTTTTCTTTTTTCCATTCACAGAGTAAGCCTGGAGAAACAAACCCAAAGATCCAAGGACCAGAAGACAAGATTCATGACCAGACATAATCAGCTCCCCATGTGGTCCTGCAGATGTGAGTCATAGCATTTGAGCCACAGGGTTCTGTACCAACCTCGAAATATTTCTTGATCATGTTGTCACTTAACCCCAGGTGCCGCTGGCAGGCCCCCGTGTTACAGAAGCAACCAGTTCGCAGGTGGATGTTGTAGAGGCTGGCCATTTTATCCACCTGTGGATGAGGTGTGATATGAAGGCAGAATTACAAGCGTCCAGTTTTGCTCAGATTGCATAGAACAAACTTTTAAATCAATGTTTGGACCTCATTTTCCAAACAACACAAAAATGATCTAAGCCATGAACTATGCTTTAACAATGCTTAATCTAACTCAGGTTTAATAAACATTTTGTGAGATGTTCTGGAAATTGAAGTTTATACAGCTGAATTATGAAAGTAAGCTTGAGAAAGTAAAAAATAAATTCCAACTGAAGAGCCAGCATATTAGCAGTGAGATTGACAAGAATGATCCTTCTGTGGGGCTGGGGACTTGGACAGCTTCTTGACACCTGCTTTGGGGCAGAGTCTACAGGCCTGAAGGTGCCACTTCAGGCAACACCAGCTCAACTCACAGCCTGACATAACTACTGATGCTCTCTCCAGCTTTGGGTTCAGTCAGAGTAACTGTTCAGACTATAGAGGTTGCATGGTTCTTTCCTGCCCTCTGGAGGTTCTAGAAGGTAATTCATATTCCCTCCCCACAGAGCTTTGTCCCAGTTCCTGGGCTGTAAGTATTTCTATTTCCTCAAGTTCTGGGGGCCCACTGTAAGTCACTCAGCATGGGAGAATTAGGCTACACTCAAGGAGAAGATCATTGAATTGCACTCTGGGAAACAAATATCTGCTGCCCAGAGGAGGAAAGCTTTGAACTTTTCCCCAAAAAGTCAGTATGATTTTCCAAGGAGAAGGAGAAGAAGGAGAAAAGAAGAAGAAGGAGAAAAGAAGGAGGAGGAGGAGGAGGAGACACCCAAATAAACAAAATCAGAGATGAGAATGGAAACATCACCACAGAAACAACCAAGATTCAGAACGTTATAAGGGAATACTTCTCCAACCTTTATGCTAACAAATTTGAGAATTTGGAAGAAATGGAAGAAAATATTGATATGCCCAAACTAAACCAAGAAGATTCAAACCAACTAAACAGACCCATATCAAGCATTGAAATAGAAACAGCAATAAGAGACCTCCCACCCAAGAAAAGCCCAGGACCAGATGGACTCACAGCTGAATTCTACAAGGCCTTCAAAGCAGAACTCACACCAGTACTCCTCCAACTCTTCAATGAAATTGAAAGTGAAAGTTCACTGACAAACTCTTTCTATGAAGGGAACATAACCTTCATCCCAAAACCAGGCAGGGACTCACCAAAGACAGAGAACTATAGACCCATTTCATTGATGAACAGTGATGCAAAACTTCTCAACAAAATTTTGGTCAATCAACTTCAACAACTCATCAAAAAAATCATACACAATGATCAAACAGGATTCATTTCAGGGATGCAAAACTGGTTCAATATATGCAAATCAATTAATGTAATTCATCACATCAACAAGAGCAAGGATAAGAACCACATGATCAACTTGACAGATATAGAAAAGGCATTTGACAGGCTCCAACACCCTTTAAGCTCTGGAGAAACTAGGAATGCATGGAACATCCCTCAATATAATAAAGGCTGTGTATGACAAACCTACAGCTAGCATTATACTTAATGGCAAAAAGCTAAAGCCATTTCCTCTAAATTCAGGAATAAGACAAAGATGTCCGCTCTCTCCACTCCTCTTCAACTTAGTATTAGAATGCTGAGCTAAAGCAATAAGGCAAGATGCAAACATAAAGGGGATCCAAATAGGGAAAGATGAAGTCAAACATCCCTCTTTGCAGATGACATAATCTTGTATTTAAAGAACCCAGTAGACTCCACTCCCAAGTTACTTGAGCTGATCCAAAACTTTGGCAAAGTTGCAGTGTATAAAATTAACCCTCAAAATCCAATGGCTTTCCTGTATGCCAGTAATAAGAAGAACACAGCTGAAATCAGGAAAGCAACTCCTTTGGTAATGGCCTCCCAAAAAATAAAATACTTAGGAATTACCTAAAGACGTGAAGGATCTCCATGACGAAAACTTTAAAAACCTGAAAAAGGAAATTAAGACAGAACCAAGGAAGTGGGGGAAAATGCCCATGGTTCTGGAATGGAAGGATCAACATTGTGAAAATGGCAATACTTCCCAAGGCTATCTACAGATTCAATACAACACCCATCAAGATCCCCACTCTATTCTTCAATGAAATAGAAGTTGCAATCCAAAAATTCATATGGAACAATAAACAACCCTTAGCAGAAAGAATTGTGCTGGAGGAATATCAATACAAACTTCAAACTCTACTACAAAGCCATAGTAATCAAAACAGCTTGGTACAAGTACAAGAACAGACCCAAGGACCAATGGAATAGAACTGAAGATCCAGAAATGAATCCGCAGACCAATAGGCACCTAATCTTCAATAAGGGAGCCAAAAAATAGAATAAAATAAAAGACAGCCTCTTCAGAAATGGTGCTGGCAAAATTGGTTAAATACCCATAGAAAACTAAAGTTAGAACCTTACATATCACCCTGTACCAGAATCAATTCCAAATGAATCAAAGACCTTGAAGTAAAAGCAGACACCCTGAAAACATTACAGGAACTAATACGAGAAACTCTAGGGCTCCATGGCACAGGCCAAAATTTTCTTAAGAAAGACCCAGAAACACAATAAATCAAAGACAGATTGGACAAATGGAATTGCATTAAACTATAGAGCTTCTGCATGGCAAATGACATAGCTAACAAGATCAATAGAAAGCCCACAGATTGGGAGATCTTCACAAGCCATACAACAGAAGACAAGGGTCTCATATCTAAAATATACTTAGAGCCCCAAAAAATTAAATCCCCAAAAAAAAACAAATCCTCAAAAAAAACAACTGTCCCATTAATAAGTGGGCTAAAGACTTAAAGAGAGACTTCTCTGAAGAAGAAATAAGAATGGCCAATAGATACATGAAGAAATGCTCAACTTCTCTGGCCATAAAAGAAATGCAAATCAAAATAACATTGGGATTCCACCTCACCCCAGCCAATTTAGAATGGCTATAATCAAGAATCTAAAAACAACAGATGCTGGAGGGGATGTGGCCACTGTTGGTGGGAGTGTAAACTTGTTCAAACACTCTGAAAAGCAGTATGAAGGTTCCTCAAAAGTCTACACATAGAGCTGCCCTATGACCCAGCAATCTCACTTTGGGGCATTTACCCAAATGATCGCAAACAAGGCCATACAAGCTACCAGCACAACTATGTTTATCGTAGCATTATTCACCATAGATAAGGTATGGAACCCAGATGCCCCTCAGTAGATAAATGGATCAAGAAAATGTGATAGACAGACAGACAGACAGACAGGTAGACAGGCAGACAGGCAGGCAGGCAGGCAGGCAGGCAGGCAGACAGACAGACAGACAGACAGACAGACAGACAGATAGATAGATAGATAGATATTCCATGGAATTCTATGCTTTCATCAGAAAGAATGACACCACCCCATTTGTAAGGAAAAAATCATATTAAGTGAAGTAACCCAGACCCAAAGAAACATAGATCCCATGGTTTACCTTATTTGTAGTAATAAGTATATGTCTAGGATCATCTTAGCAGATGAGCAGAATGGCTCAATAGCTATGTACATATGACCATATAAGATGATGTTAGGCAAAACAAATTCCAAGACTCAAGAGATTTTTCTTTGTTGTTGTTGTTTTTAATGTGCTATCTGATTTCTTGTTTCTTTTGTATGTTCTTCCCCCTATGGTATATCCCCTGTTGTCACTGTATTTGATTTTGTTACTCTGGTATTGTATATACATTTATTTGAACTAGGGAAGGGAAGGGGAAAAACAGAATGGTGAGACAAAGGACAAGGGGGAACCAATGCAACAGTGATATATATATATTCAAGACGGTATGTTGGAAATGCTCTGTACAACTTGGGAGCGGGTGGGTGAGAGGGAAAGTAGGAGGAAAATGAGGGAAGAGGTAGCAAGTTTGACACGAAATGTACTTATTACCTTACTTATGTAACTGTAACCCCTTTGTACAGCACCTTGTCCATTTTTTTTTAAAGTCAGTATAATGTCCACTGTAGACCACAAGTTACCATGTGGTTAGCCTGGGCTTTTGTTAGGTACCAGTGCCTCCCAGAGACCTAGGTCAAAATCACAACAGTCTTCACTGTGGCTGTCTCCCCTGCTCAACTAGAGTGAGCCAAAGCCATTCATTCTCTTTATTGAACTAAGGGGCCTCAGGAAAACCATCCTGTCACTTCACTCTCATAGCTGAGTGGCATGCAAGCCTGCCAATGAAATCCAGGAAGTCTCTGGCTCTGTGAGGTGAGAACTGGCAATACTGTTGTGTCCAGCCAAATCTATTGCCATCATCAGTTTTCCACTGACAGGGCATCTTGTAGGAGGTCCCTCCAATCCACTAGCCCAGCTCCCACCAGGCTGGGAAGCAGAATTCCCCCCTGCAGCCACCGTAGTCATTATTCCTGCTGCCAAACAAATTTCAGAAAAGACAATAACCACTGCATCGTGTTCACAGCTGCCATGACTCTGGGAGGACTCAATGGCTGGAAAGACTTTGCATCTTCATAAGACCCCTTCTCTATGGAAGTGTCTGGTACCTCGGATAGGGGGCTGTTTCATAGGCTATTGCCCATCTAGGGGAAGGCCTGGGCCTCCTGTAGGCAGCAGCTTGTGTACGGGTCCCTGATCATTATGGGGGTTTAATATACCCACTGGTGCATTATTTTTGAGAGCAGGTACAGGTGGACATCAAAAGTTGCATTCTGGGGCCGGGAAGGTGGCTCAGTGGTAGAGTGCTTGCCTTGCATGCCTGAAGCCCTGGGTTCAATTCCTTAGTACCACATAAGCAAAAAGAAAAAAACTGGAAGTGGTGCTGTGGCTCAAGAGGTAGGCAGCCTGGACAGGAAATCTGTGAGACTCTCATCTCCAATAAACCACCAGAAAACTGGAAGTGGCACTGTGGCTCAAGTGATAGACCCCTAGCCTTGAGCTGAAGAGCTGAGTGACAATACCCAGGCCCAGAGTTCAAGCCCCACGACCAACCAAAAAAAAAAAAAGCTTCACACTTAATACCACCTTCCCACCAAAGAGCTGTCACTGACTTTTTACAATAGAATTGCTCTTGCCTAGAACCTGAAAGCCTTACTATGCACTGAACTTTGTAGCAAAGGCCTCTGTACATTGGAATGTCACTGCAGTTATACACTTAAAATGCTTAAAATAGGAGAGAGTGAGGGAAGGGAAGACACTGTATGAAAGAATATGTCCACATTACCTGACTCATGTAACTGTAATCTGTTTATCACCTTTATAGTAACAATAAAGTAAAAAATTTTAAATAAATAAATAGGTGCTTAAAATAGTTAGTCACTGGTGTATAATCCTAGATGATACTCAGGAGGCTGAGATCTGAGGATTGTGGTTCAAAGCCAGCCTGGGTAGGAAAGTCCATGAGACTCATTTCCAATTAAACCCCTGAAAACCAGAAGTGGAGCTGTTGCTCAAACTGGTAGAGCACTATCATTGAGCAAAAAAGCTCAGGGACACTGCCCAGCCCCATGACCAAAAAAAATTAAAATACAAACTTTATGTCATATGTATTTTATCACAAGCTCTTACTTGTCACCTTCTGTCACTATCACTCTCCCGAACTGTCATCTTCCACTGCTGTCCTGCGCTTGTTTCAGAAGCTACTGGCCAACTAGGGGAAGTGTTGGGCCCTCTTGTATGCAATGGGTCATTGCAGGTGGACCTCAGTACCACAAAGTGATTTGAATATGCCCACTGGTATATTGTCTTTGAAAATCCCATACTGCAGTAGTGCCCTTCACAGAGATTTTGCATTAACCTGAGGACTGAAAGCCTAAAGTCTTCTGAAGATTGGAATCTACTCCTTGGGAACAGTGGGGATGCCTAGATAATGGCTTCTGCTGTCCCCATAGACCAGGACAAGGAGAGAGTCAGCTTTCCTGTTTCCAACTCTTGCTACCTAAAAGGATATCCTCCATCTATTTGACAGATCTCTGGAACTTAACTACTTTCCTAGTTTATCTGTGAACAACTGTCTGAGTTAGCAGAAAACTGCCTAGAAATCTGGGACAGGGATACATGTACCAAATATATACTGTTAGCAGGATATGGTAGATATTTTGTCAGACACAAGAATGTGATCTTCTTTAAAAGCATTATAGTAAAATATTTTAAACAAACAACAAAATAAAAGTCAGAAAGATGGAAAAGAAACTGTACCTGGGAATAGCCGATGATGAATCCCTTGTCATCCAGTACATTAAAGTTAATGATGGGGCCCTGAACATCAGGGCTGCTGAACTCAGAGTCACTGTAGATTCGAACCACAGGAGCTCCGTTGTGGTAGTGAAGGGAGGATAACATGGCATAGGTGTACTGGGCCAGCGTGAAGGTGTGCTGTTTTATATTCTCCATGCCACCTCCAAAGAGAGACACGAACTTGATGTGAAATTTACTAACGCATTTTTTTCTTTAAGATAAGGTAGTGACAGCTGGTCAAACTTGTACCGCGTCGTAATGACTCTACTGTAAATACGGTATGCTGTCAGCTTCATGACAGAGAGTGAGGTCTATGGTTAAGCTTTGCTGTTTCTGAACAACTTTCCCATAGGAATTCTTGATACCTTCTTTTTTCTTTTTATTTCATTTATTTATTTATTTTGTATGGATTCTGCGGCTTGAACCCAGGACCGCATGCTCTTGCTTAGTTAGTTTAGTTTTCTCTACTCAATGATAGAGCTCTACCTTTTGAGCTACACTTCTACTTCCAGCTCTTTGCTAGTTAATTGGAGTGAAGAATCTCAAAGTTTAGACCAGGCTGGCTTTGAACAGAATCCTCAGATCTCAACCTTCTGAGTAGCTAGAATTATAGGTGTGAGCCACCAGCACCCAGCCATTGGTACCCTCTTTTAAAATACAAATATATTTATATATTACATACTTGCATGTGTACTTATATTCATATATTTACTGTTACATACATATATAGCTAATTAAACATTAGCAAAAATATGTGACTTTTCTTATTTTGGGTATTTATTTTGTTACTATTTTAATTATTTTGCATCATACATAGCAATTAAGGATATATGATTTTATATAAATGAACCTTAGAAATATTCTAAGAAGATGGCTCAGTGGTATACTGCTTGCCTTGCATGTATCAGGCCCTGGGTTCAGATTCCTCAGCACCACATAAGCAGAAAAAGCGGGAAGTGGCACTGTGGCTCAAGTGGTAGAGCACTAGCCTTGAGCTGAAGAGCTGAAGGGCAGCATCCAGGCCCAAAGTTCAAGCCCCATGACGGACAAAAAAGAAAGAAAGAAAGAAAGAAAGAAGGAAGGAAGGAAGGAAGGAAGAAAGAAAGAAAGGAAGAAAAGAAATACTCTAAGTAAAAGTAACTAAGCAAACAAACAAAAAGAAACAAATGTTGTATTCACATAAAAGGCACCCAGAATAGGCACCAGAGATTCAAATGGCTACAATTGCAGTTTAGGAAGATCATAACCTGTTGGGTCTGGACTGTATTGTACAGCAAGGTGAATGTACTACAAAAATGGTTATAACAAATTTTATGTTAAATACATATTTTACCACAATGTTTGTGTATGGGGTGGGGAGAGAAGGCAGTAATGAGAGAGTTCTGGGGCTTTGAACTCAGGGCTTGAACTTTAAAGACTAGTGATAGAATCACTTGAGCCACAGCTTCACTTTGGGCTTTTTATTGATTAATTGATGATAAGAATCTCACAGACTTTCCTGTCTAGGATGGCTTTGAACCATGATTCTCAGATCTCAGCCTCCTGACTAGCAAGGATTACAGACATGAGCTACCAGGACCCAGCTTCACCACAGTTTTTTTCAGCACTAGGTATTGAGCACAGGGCTTTGAGCATGCTAGACTAATGGTCTACCACTTGAGCTATGCCTCAAGCACTTTAATTTTTTATTTGTCTTGAAATAAGATCTCACTGCTTTTATCAGAACTGGCCTTGTACTGAAGATCTTCCTACTTCTGCCTCCCGGGAAGCTATGATTGCAAGTATGTACCACAATAACTGCTTACTATATATTTTTTAAAGCAATGTAATAGAAAAGCCCATGACTTTCCATTTCTGGACTGATACTGTCACTGTGGCTTTCAGAAGTGTCTGGCTCATTAGACCCTGTTACCTGTCATTCAGATGTCCTGTGATATCTCTCCTTGGAAAGTGCTTGTTTTCGATATCTGCCTTTATCCTCTCTTCCCTTTTTCCCAGACCATGTTCACTTCTCCCTGCCTTATTATGAGGTGACTCTCCCTCCCTTCAATGAGTCCCATTGTGGCCTAAACAGATAAGCCACATTCCAATCCCACTCTGGTTCTAAAAACTCCATCTTGAACAAACCCCCCAAAGCACAGTACTGTGGCCTATGCCAGGCTCACTAGACACAGGTTCTTCCAGTCACATACTTGTATCCATCCTCTTAATATGGGAAGTACCATATGTGTGTCAGCCTCTGCTCAATGTCCCCTACACCTGCCTACAAACCAAGCACTTGTCAGGAAAGAAGCCAAGCAGCATGAAAGATGGACACCAGACACAGTAGTTGCAAGTTTGGAGTCAGGCTTTTGTTTGGCCTGGATTTAAATCCTACCTCCCTGTTAGCAGCTTGCTGGCCTGGGAAAGCATTTAACCTCTCTGAGCAGTTGCTCTGTCGTGGGAAGTATTAGACTTGTCATCAGCTCTCCCATGGGGCTGTAGAGAGGACCCCGCCAGAGCTGAGTTATCTCGGGATCTGTAACCATTCCCAGACCAGACATCAAGGACAGTGCCTCCATGCTGTGCTACTGTTTATCTCTGGATCAAAATTGTCCCATCTGTTACAGCCATTCACCTGGCAAAGCAAAGAAACCCCCAATACATGTCCTCACCCCCCACTCCCCATCCCCCCTCCCCGCCAAAGTCAGATTTAACTGCATTCAGCAGCCAGCACCTCTGCGCCACTTCCTTGCAAACACAGTGCCTCCTTCATTGGAACCTCACTGGGCGAGACCTCCCTCCAAGACAATATGGGTAACAAGAGGTAGAGCTAATCCCACATGGACACAAATGTGCACTGACCTGTAAGGTGCTCTAGGATGTCAAATCCATGTTTTAATGCTACCACATCAAGGAACGAGATGGTTCCGTCTTCAAACCTATAAACATGAAGTGCAGAAACAAGGTTAGGCTGCTGCCACTTAATTCACATGAGTTTGGTGGTATGCAATGCACATTTCATTGTAAACTGAGTACTGATCTATGAATAGTTTCCCTTGGCTGCTTTATGAAATACTCCTCAGGAAAGAGGCCTTGCACACTAAGTCCTGCCCAGATGCCTCTTACAACAGTCGGACTGGTCAACAGTGAACTAAGAGACAGGAACAGGAGATAGTCAGAAGCAGAGGTGGCTAAAGGGTTCTACACAGGTAAGTGACACAGTGTGATGTGACCCCTGTGGCCCTTGGGGAAGGACCGTCTGCAGGAGTGTGACAAAGATGTGATTTCTGTATGCATCCAGGCAAAGGATGGGGACCAACAGCCACCTTAGGCAAGCTGTTATTGAAGTGTTTCTTTTCTTACCAAAATAACAATAGACATTCAGAATTCATAATGGACCAATGGCTAATCAATCACCAATAATAATAAAACCAAGTATTATTAACAGATAATGACAATTTACTTGATCAAACATCTATTAATAATTAAAAGAGTCTTGCTCAGAATAAAAGGGGAGATTAGTTTACTTCTAAAGAGGTTTATATTTCATTGAATTCCATCATTGAATGATGAAATGCAGGTTAGGAACAAGGTCCAGGTCCAAGTTCAATAAGCACTGGGATTGAATGACATATCTTTGAATTCTAGTCCTGGAGTCTGTACGAAAGAAGCTAGGTTTATACTGGTAGATAAATATGTTCTGCTTTCTGAGTGTCTTGGTATGGTGCATGCTATAAAGTGTTCTACCCAGATCAAAGGAGAGATCTAAGCCAGCCCAGCTGGCTCTGACCCCCAATGAGCTGCCCACTTTCTCTGGACTTCAGGCACTCTTGGTAGCCAAAGTAAGTTTGTGTCTCTTTGTTCTGCCATTTGTTCTTTGCTGTGCCTGTCACTTTTTCCCACTTGTTTTTTGCTATACAGCAAATTATTACACTTAGGATTCAAAATGTTTTATATTAACATTCCTGTGTTTGAATTTCTCTAACTATGGAGAAGTCTTTTTTTTTTTTTTTGGTCATGGGGCTTGAACTCTGGGCCTGGGCACTGTCCCTCAGCTCTTCAGCTCAAGGCTAGTGCTCTACCACTTGAGCTACAGTGCCACTTCTGGTTTTCTGAGTGTTTACTGGAGATAAGAGTTTCACAGACTTTCCTGCCTGGGCTGGCTTTGAACCATGATCCTCAGATCTCAGCCTGCTGAGTAGCTAGGATTACAGGCGTGAGCCACTGGTGCCCAGCATGAGAAGTCTTAAATGAAAGAGAAGTCAGTGCCCAGTGAGGTAACTTATGTGCAATGCCAGGTACTCCAGAGGCAGAGAACAGAGGACTTGTGGTTCAAGGCCAGCCTGGGTCAAAAGTTAACAAAACTCTATCTCACTCAATAAGCCAAGCAGTGTGTTGCATGTCTATGACCCCAGCTAAACTGGAGGCTGTAAATAGGAGATTTGAGATCTGAAGCTGGCTACATGCAAAAACACAGGACTAATAACTAAGGAAAAATAATTGCAGCTAAAAAGAGGCGGAAGCATAGCTCAAGTGGTAGAGTGTCTACCTAGCAAATGTGAGGGCCTGAGTTCAAACTCCATACTGGCAAGAAAAAGCTTCAAATGACTTCATAACACAGATCAATGACCCCTCTGAACTGGTGCTTTGCCTGCATAAGCACTAACCACAAGGATGGTGTTCCCACTGTCCCTTTATAGAATAAGCATGAGGTGCAGAAAGATCAAGCCACATGTTCCCCAGCTGTGTGGTAGAGGGGATTCATGCCTCAGTAGTCCAGCTCCAGAACCTCACTGCCTCCAGAGCACATCAGTCTACATGACCCTGAGTCTGTGCCTGGATCTGTGCAGGATCTAAGCTATCTCTACACCATCTTAAGCACCATCATGGTGGTGAATGCCCCAGCCTAACCCCATGGGATCCACTCTGGCGGGACCAGCAGAACTCCAGCTCAGTGTCATTTTTACCTCTCATCTACTTGGCCTTATGGGTCCCATTTCAAAGTTTCATGTGGAGCCCTCACTAAAGGCTGTAGCCTGAGGAATCTGTATGAGCCAGCAAGCCAGTGAAGGTCTATGAGGATGAGGAGCAGCCTGGCCTCTGGCTTCCAAGATAACAGCTTGGACTGAGAGGCTGATCGTGTTACTACCCCCACAGGTCTTATGGCGGTTAGGTGCACACTTGTTCCAAAGAGCATCATCTTTTAAAATCACTGTTGATCACGGTTGCTTTTCTTGGTTTGGTTTGGTTTTGTAGTCCTAGGTATTGAACTCAAGAACCTCAATTTGGTAGGGAAACATTTTATCACTTGAGTCATACTCTCTGTACTTTTACTTAAAAAACAAAGACAGCCTTTAAATAGCTGTACAAACGGGATTCAACACGTTCAGTTTATGTGTACAATGCAGTTCGATCAATATCACCCTTTCCGTCACACGGTACTTTTGGCTTTCAGCTTGCTTGTCAGATAGGGTATTACATTGATTTTGCCCTGCCTTAGACTCTGATCTTCCTACATCTGCTTACTGAGTAGCTGGGATTACAGGCTTGTACCACCATGCTCAATAGTGTGAAACCAAAAGGTGCTGCCTACCCTCCTTACGTCTCTACAGACCTTTTTTTAAATTTTTTTTAATTGTGAAAATACCGTACAGAGGAGATACAATTACATGGACAAGATAAGGAGTTCATTTCTTATCAAGCCTTGTTGCCTCCTCTTTGTTTCCCCTTCCTATCCCTTCCCATACTTCCTCTACTTCCCCCCACCCGATCCTCCCCACCCCACCAAAGTTGTAAAGTTCATTTTTCGACATAACGACTTGTACATATTGTTGCAATGGGTCTACCGGTATCCCTAGGTAAACAATTTGTTTTTGCCCTTCCCCTCCACAAATTATACCAATATCAAATACAGTGAAAGCAGCTGTTATACTGTGGGGGAGGGACATACAAAGCAACATAGAAATAATCTTATAAATATGTTAGAAACAATTGCATGAAATTTAAAAAAAAAAACATTTGAACAGACCTTTCCCCTCTCATTCTTGCAACTCTTATCTGAAAGCCTGCTCCTTTACCATTCAGCAGAAGCCAACACTTGAGGGCAGAGTCCACTGAGTCGCCTGTAGTAATTACCATTCAATCGTCCTGTTGTCAGCCTGACCCCACCAGCAGTGTTCAACAGCCTGGACCCCTGTCCCTTACACAATCCCATAGGCTTTATGACAGATCTGCCTTTGGGAACGACACCAGCCACTGCAATGTCATGATTACCTTTCAGACACCGATGACCTTGGCACGTAGAAATCTGATCCTGCAAGGTAGGCAGCGGCGGTCCCTCCTCCGAAGTAGCCTTTCTTCAGTAGAGGAGCCACACGATTATTGACCAGCAGAGCACCCAGGCCAGTAGGAAACCCAAAGATCTTATAAAAGGAGATAGGAACAAAGTCTGCCTGGTGAGTGGACAGGTCCAAAGGCGAGGTGCTCGCATAAGAGGCTGCATCCAACAGCACGAACCACTTCCCAGGCAAGTTCACAGGACTCATCCGCCCACATTTGATGTCCTCTATCCAGGACAGTGGGTATTTGGATCCTGAAAAGTTACTCTGAGCTGGGTAACAGAAGAGATGTGAGGGCTGGCAGCTGGGGTGGCTGCCCATTTCATCTCTTTCCTCCACCAAGCGCAGGTCCTCTGGCCTGACCGGAGTAGAAGTGATACCCCTGGCTGCAAGTATCTTCCTCATACCCACCACTGAGGTATGATTGTCTGTGAGATAGCAGAACCTACTCCCGCTGTTCCCTGGGCAAGAAACCCAGGGAAAGGACTCTGCCACCAGCTTGAGGGCAGCCGTGCTCCCGGAGGTGAAGATCACGCTGTAGTCATCCAGGGTGGTGTGGAAATGCGCTAGGATCCTGCAAAGAAGTGCAGTGTCACCCAGGCCTGCCTCTCACCTCCAGTCCTGAACTGGATGTTGCTAGTTTTATTACATAGGGCATCTGTACCTTTTCTTAGGGGGAAGGACTCAAGGTTTCATGCTCTTGTTCATGCTTTTGCTCACAGACAGTGCTCTACCATTTCAGTCACATTTCCAGTCCAGTTTTTTGCTGGCTATTTTGGAAATGGGAGCTCTCAGACTTTTCTGCCTGGGATAGCTTCAAACTGCAATTTTCCAGATCCCAGCCTCTTGAATAGCTAGGATTAGAGACATGATCTACCTGTGGCTAGCTATATCTCTACCTTAATGGCTCAAAAACCATCCAGATAAGCTTCGCTGCAACCATGAAGTTAGGGTAGGGCAAGAAGAAGTGCTGGGAAGCAATGGGTTCCAAATAGGTTTCATAGTCACCTCACCTCCCAGCTTCCATCTCTGATCAGACATGACAAAAGCTTCAGGGGCCTGAGTCTCAGTTAACAATACCTTTTCCTGGGTGCTTCCTCCCCAGTTCCATTTGGATTTTTAAGTTGTCTTCCTGTTTTACATTGTTTTTAAACCTGGTCGTAAAACTGCACCATGTTCAAAAGTGAAATAATTCTAAACCATCTTGGTTCAGGATACTTTGGACAGCATCAGGAAATCATTTCCCACAATCATTTCCAGTTGTTACAGAAAAAGATAAGGAGCTTTATAAGATTCAAATGCTATAAAAAGAGGGGGAGGAGGGAGAATGTGGCTAAAACAAAATGACTGCTAACACACCTTGTGGGAAGGAAAATCAAGGTGGCAATGCTTGTCTTCTTTCTGAAAACAAGACCTCAGAACCTGGCTCACTCCTAGTCAGTGACACCTGCTCAGAACTGATGCTTCTCATCTGTCCCATGTTTCACTTGACCTTCCTGTCCTCTGGTGCACATGGGGCTTTTGAGCTGACACACGCTCACCACCTTTGTGCTATAAAGGAATTCTATCCGCCTAGGTGACCCGCTCAGGCAAGTGTCCCTGTCACTCACCTGTAGCGCACCTGCTCCACAGTGTCATAGGTCAGCTTGCTGGTGATGTTCTGACTGTGAGGGTTCCCTGGGGAGTTATAAAGACAAAACCTTAGTCATGCTGTAGTCTCTCCTTTGGTGCTCGTTCAGTGACTTCTCAAAAAGCTAAACATAAGGTCAGGTGCTAGTAGCTCATGCCTATAATTGTAGTTACTTAGGAGTCTGAGATTTGAGAATCATGGTTGAAGACTAACCCAAGTGGACAAATCCATGAGACTCTTACCTCTAAATAACCAGCAAAAAGCCAGAAGTACAGCGTGTCTCAAGTGATAGAGCACTAGCCATGAGAAAAATGTCAAGCAAGAGGACAAGGACCTGATTTCAACTCCAGTACCAGAATTAATGAATCTATCACATGACCCCAAAAGTCCATTCTTAGGTAGCTACCTCAAGTCTGAACAAAGACTTGCACACAAATGGTCATAATAGCTATATTTATGAAGCCAAACTCTAGAAACACATAAAAGCCCAGTAATGTTATTTGGTAAACAGTTAAGTATACTATATCCATATAATGGAAAATTGTTTGGCAACAAAGAAATACTGGCTATATCATGAATGAGTGTCTAAAACATGTTGGGTGCGGTACATGATGGCTCAAGACTATAATTCCAGCTGTGTAGGAAGCAGAAATGGAATGATGATGTTTCAAAACCATCCTCTCTGAGCAAAAGGAAGGAATGAATGGACAAGAGAAAAAAGAAAGGAAGACAGGAGAAAAGAAGAGAAGAGAAAAGTTACCCTTTCTCAAAGAAAAAGTCTAGGTATGGTTGTATACATATATAATCCCAGCCATACAGGAGGTAAAGGCAGAAGGATCTTGGTCTAAAACTGGCACCAGACAAGAAGCTCAAAATCATATTTGAAAAATAAAGCAAAAAGGATTGGAAGACATGGTTTAAGTGGTAAAACTAGCAAATACAAAGGCCATGAGTTCCTTCCTACCCCCAAGTGTTGCTCTCCCCCACTCCGCCCCCAACACACACACCAAAAAAATCATACTAGGTGAAAGTCTCTGGTCACAGGGGTCACATGTTGCATGATATCATTTACATGAAATGTCCAGCAAGCAGCAAGGCAATCATGTGGATACACTGATGGTACAGGATAAAGGCAATAGGAATAAATCATAAGTGTGAGTAGGAGATCTCAATGAGGAATAAAATGTTCCGACTAATTCATAGTGGCCATTGCATCACCCAGAGAAAGTGTCAAAATTATCCAACCGTATACATAAAACAGGTGAAGCTGGAGGCCTTGCTGAAGTGCCAGCTGTGAGCAAACAAGCTACAGGGAGAATATAAGGCTGAATTCAAGCCTTAAGAACTGCCACACACACACATAGAAAAAGGATACCCAAGTACCTGTGGTTCATGCCTATAATCCTAGCTACTCATGAGAGTAGCTGAGATCTGAGTATTGTAGTTCAAAGCCATCTGGAGCAGAAAAGTCCATGAGACTCTTTTCTCCAGTTACCCAGAAAAAAGCTGGAAGTGGAGCTGTGGTTTAAGTGGTAGAGTGCTGGCCTTGAGGGGAAAAAAAGCTAAGGGATAGTACACAAGCCTTGAGCGCAAGTACAAGTACTAGCACACAAAGAAGTATGAAGGCATCTCAGAAGAGCTAGGATAACCCAAGAGCCTTTTCACAAATTCCCTACCTAATGCCCAGAGGCTCTATCTACTACCTCTAAGAACCAAGGACACAAACTCCTCCAGCCATGAGACAGAGCCATGAACAATTATGTAATTAGTCCCTGTCTGCTACCCTGCCCTTCCCTTCACCACTGTTGCCCTGCCGAAACACACCAACCTCCTCCTCCCAGACATGAAGTCATGAAGGGGGCATGCATGAATCCCATTGGCCCTCAAGACTAAGGCTGTCCCACTTTCACCCTTCACTGTGTTAATTTCTCCCTCAATGCTCAGTTCTCAGACAGTCACCCAGATTTCTGGAAAGGCCTTGCTTCAGGGGCTAGACACCCACATCTCCAGGGCAGGACTACATGTGTGCATTCACACAAGCAGGGCCATTTTGTTTTGACTTCTTTTTACCTAAACCACCTGCACACTGCCCCTTTGTCATTCTCCTCCCCTCCTATGGTCCTGAACCCTCTGTTGGGCCTTGGCTCATATTGTGGACACTGCCCAAAGGCTTTCTCCTCCTCTTGCTCCAGTAAGTTGTGTCTCACCCTCCTACTTCCCATCTATAGCCAAAAAAAAAAATTCCTTGATATGAACTGTCACCCCGCTGGCACTACAAATATAGATTCCCTGATACCAAGCACCTTTGCTCACAATCCTTCACACAGTTGGTAATTATATTTATTTGGAGATCACTTAAGATCTTCCAAGACTAGATCAAAGTCTCTATGAAGGAAGAGACTGTGCTTATTTTGTTCACTACATTGACAAGCTGCACACACCATGAGACCCAATAAACGTTTTTGGAATGGATCGGTGGGTGGGTGGATGAATGAACAGCAGCATCTTATCACACAGCGGCTTCACTATATAGTCACAAACATCAAAGACTGCATTTGCAGTCTCTTATACCTTTCATGACACGACACCTTCTGCTGGAAGTGACTCGTATGTCCCTGAGCCAGAATTTTGCATCATATATGATTGTGACTGAAAATAACACTGGGTGCTTGCCTGACTCATGATCAGTATGGTCTCCTCCAAGATTTTTTTAACTTTCTTGTTCATTCTGTTTGTTTGTTTGTGAGACAAAGAGTCTTACTATGTAACCCAGGATGGCCTAGAATTTGCAATCCTCCTGCCTCAGTCTCAAGTGCTGGCATTACCCATGTGTGCCACCATTTCCAGCCTGGCTTCTATTAATTAATCCAAAACAATTAAATAGAGATGTATCAACTGCATATAGGTGGCTAAAATTAGTGTGGGTGAACTGTATTTACCATAAACATTTTCCATGAGATCCTTAGTGAAGCTTGTGAGCTGGCTCTGGGGGAACAAGGTGGCTCCGGCATGATCAAGGTAAACAGTTCCTGAAAAACAACAACAATAAATATACATTGCATATAATAGACAATGTTACCTTGGATATCCTCATATGCGGGTCACTTTACAAAAGTGTGGATATTTATAAAATAAATATCCAGAAGAGAAATGACAATAAATACAGTAGCAGGATGCTTTTCATAAGTTGTCCGGTCATTTCATCTAGATCTGGTTTGTTTGATCCAGACCAGTGCCTATTCAGAGAGATTCAACATTACACCAGGCTGCTAGCATCCTGCCTCCAGATATGTCCTTCTTAATGCAGGTATAGGCCTGGTCCTACCCTCCACTGTTCTATGACTTTTTGTTGTCGGTGGTGGTCATGGGGCTTGAACTCAGAGCCTGAGCGCTGTCCCTGAGCTTTTTTCCTCAAGGCTAGTACTCTACCACTTTGAGCCATAGCTCCACTTCTAATTTTCTGGAGGTTAACTGGAGATGAGTCTCATGGACTTTCCTGCTAGGCTGGCTTTGAACCATGATCCTCAGATCTCAGACTCCTAACTAGGATTACAGGTGTGACCACCAGCACCCAGCTTGTTTTATGACCTTCACTCTGCAAGCACCTTCCTTACTAGCCAGCTCTCTTAGGAACCAGCATCTGCATCCCACACAAAGAAGGAGTTGCCCAGCAGACATCGTGATTAATAAAGATGCAGCCATTTCCCACCATGACTCATGCCCTCTTCAGGAAGTTGAGTGTCTTGCTACAAGCTGAGCCCTGGTTCTGTTCTTCCCAAACTGCTCCATAGCCCTCAATCCTACCACAGCTGCCAGAGGGTGAACAGCCCTCCCAGGCTCTCCTCTGGAGAGATAAAAGCAATCTAGCAGCTAACCAGATTAGCAAATACTAAATTAGGGGTGTCAGGCAGGGCAACAAGCTATTGGCACATGGCTGGTAATGGGTAAACTGGTAACACTTATTTATGTAATAGCCAATTGTCAATATCAGAGCCACTTAAAAGTACATATTCTTTGACTAGCCATTTCTTTTCTGGGTATTTATCTTATAAATATCCACACTTTCATAAAGTGACCTGCATAGGAGGGTATTCAAAGCAACATTATCTATAATAACAAATGGTTGAAAGTAGCTTCAGCATCCAACAACCCAGATTTAAAATAAAGAACTGCTGGCCACTCATCTAGTACTCTGTAAGTGCTGACATGGAATAAACTCTGAGATGAAGCACACACAATGTGAACCACACATTTATTCTTTTATTCACCTAACAATTTTTTTTGCATTTATGTAGGATGGTTTGTTTGCTAGGAGCAGTTTTATTGCGATATAATTCATATACCAAAATCTTCACAGCATACCATTTAGCAGGGTTGAATATGTTTATGGCATTACCCAACCATCAGCAGTATCTAATTTTAGAACATTTACATTGATCTCCATTCCCATTACCTATCACATCCATTCACATAATAGCAAATGTATCCAACTTCACTCTTCTTTATGGTTGAAAGTGTGAGTATACAACATTTTGTTTATCCAGTTATGAACATTTATCTTCTATTTGTCTAATACAATGCTATTATAAATATTAGTATACAAATTCTCATGTGAACTTGTGTTTTGTACCTTTCCTTTTTTGCTTTTTTTTTTCTGTGTTTTATACCAGGGCTTGAACTCCAGGCCCCAGCACGTTTTTTTTTTTTTTTTTAACTGTGGCATGCATCTCCTATATTTATTTATTTTCTTTCTTTTTTTCTGTTTTTTTTCTTTTCCTTTCTTTTCTTTTTTTCTTTTTTCTTTCTTATTTATTTTTATTTAATTGTGAAAATGCCATACCCTGGCACTCTTGCTTGGCTTTTTCCTCCCAATGTTGGTGTTCTACCATTTGAGCCACAGCTCTACTTCTGGCATTTTGCTGGCAAATTGGAGGTAAGAGTCTCTAAGACTTTTCTACCCACGCTGGTTTCAAACTGTGATCCTCAGATCTTAACCACCTGAGTAGCTAGGATTGCAGGCATGCACCATCAGGTGTTTTTTATTTTGATATTCAGTGTTTCTCTTGTCATTGTCATTGTCACTTGAATTTTTTGGTGTCATAAGAAATAATTGCCTAAGAAGTGCCTGATGACTTATTATTTTTTCCCTAAGAGATTTACTTTTTTCTCTTATATTGTCTTTGATCAATATTGAGTTGATTTTTTTAATACAATGTGAAGCAGGCCATCACTGTATGGGTTTATCTCTGGACTTATAATTCAGCTATCTTTAGTATTGTTTGCATGCCAATACCTCACTGTCTTGATGAATCTAATTTTGTAGTAAGTTCTGAAGCCCAGAAGTGTTCATCTTCCAATGTAGTTCTTTCTCAAGAGTGCTTAAGCCATTCCTCTTCTTTATATTTCTATATGAATTTTAGGAATAATGTATTAATTTCAGCAAAAAGGTAGTTGGAATGACTTCTAATAGGTAGAGCAAAGTTTGTCTATATGCTAAATTAGATCAATAAGGATTTAAACATTAACTCATTAAATTGGGCATGATTTTAGCTTAAAATGGATCTATTAATATGTGTTTCAAAATTATGCTATATTGTGTTAGATAAAACATATGAAATACTTTCAAAAACACTTGTTCTTTTTTCCTCTTATACTAACATTAGTTTTCTGTTCCTTTTTGTTGTTGTTTGCTTTGGTTTTTATTTTGAGGCATACTTTATGTAGCCTAAGTTGGCTTTGAACTCACGATCTTCCTGCTTTAGCCTCTTCAAGTATGAGGAACTTGTACAGCCACATGTTTCTTTAAACATTTTGATAGTCATATATCTTAAATAAATTTATAAAATTTGTTTCAGCTGTGTGCCAGTGGTTCACACCTATAGTCCTAACTACTCAGGAGGCTGCGATCTGAGGGTCACGGTTGGAAGCCAATCCAAGCAGTAAAGTCAACAAGATGCTTGTCTCCAATTAACCATCAAAAAGCTGGATGTGGAGCTGTGGCTCAAGTGGTAGAGGGTTAGCCCTGAGCAAAGAAGCTCAGGGACAGAGCCCAGGCACTGATTTCAATCCCCAGCACCACCCCAATATATGAATGCACACATACACACATGCACACACAAAAAATAATAACTTCCAGTAGGGGAAAAAGTAGCTGGTATTCTGATAAGACTTGCTTTGAATATGCAGCTCAGTAGAGGAAACACTGTCTTCTTAACAATGACAATTTCCACATTGCAGAGAATTGCACTCAATAAAGGACACGCACCACTACCACAAGCACAGATGTTAAAGGGCTCGGAAGACCACTCTGGGGTCCTGGCTGCCACATCTTCATTTTTCAGTTGCACTTGAGAGAACAAGTTCTGTCCTCCAAGGGAAAGACTGGAACTGGAATGGGGAGGGACCCAGAACACACCTTTACTTTTCAGCCAAATGGGGTGGAGGAAGCCAGCTGGAGGGGATTTAAGAGATTAGGGAGGGAGGTGTGGCGCTGAAATAATCACCTACTGAATAAAACAGGCTCTGGGATTTGCTCCCAGAAAAGGAAAGTGAGAGTCCCTCTCCCCTCCCCCTCCCTCCCCCCCTCGGCACCTGTGTGAGGTCAGTATCAGACTCCTTTTCTGCGTGGTTAGAAAAGGAGAAAAAAGAGAGAATGTAGAGGGGCTGTCCCCAGCTGACTGCTACCTGGAAGAATGGGGTGGTGATAATGAGGCAGGTACAGATCCAGGGGGCGATCCCTCCTGGCTCTCGCTACCTATTGATGAAAGACCCAAAACCCTCAAAGCGCACACACAAAATAGCATTCACAGCACCAGGAAAGGGCCGCAGCTCTAAGCCCCGTTGACAGGTCAGCGGTCCCCTATTCGACTGAAAGAAAGAAACCCAGGTTCCCTAACCCAGGGCCGGCCCCTGCCCCTCCGCCCCCCCCCCCCCCGTCTGATCACCACCAAGCGGTTCTGCGGCTCAGTGAAATCCCTCCAGTCAAGGTCCCTAGACCAAGGCCGAGTCCTGAACCTGAAGCCGTGGGCTGGCGTCGGGCCACGGGCAAATCGAGCTTGATTGGCAATTCAGGCAGCAGGTTCTGCCACTCAGAACGCAAATGGCACAGCTCGCTAGTTTCTCCGGTCGCTACCAAGAAGAGCCTCGGGCATGTTGTTCTGGGAAAGAACTTAAAAAAAGAAAATGTGGCTTCCAATGCAGAAGTTCCAAGTGGGCCATCCCAAGGGAATCCAAGTGCATCCTTTGCCCGGCCCCTGTCGGGCAGTCCAGCCTCGGAGTCCCAGCGCTGCGCGCGGGCCGCCCTCGCACCACCACTCCGGCCCTTTGGGGCAGCGATCGGAGCGAACGCGCAACATCCTGAATTTCGTAACTGGCTGCGTCGGGGCCTTTAGAGTCCGGGATCGCAGCGCAGCAGATGGGGGGTTGGGGGGTGCGGGGAATCCTAGGCCCTGACCGTAGCAGGAGTGCCAAGGTGAGAAGGAACGGCCACTTCGCTCCCGACCCACTCCCAAACTCAAGGAGCACTAAGCGAGTGGCCTGGGACCTCGGGCACCCACAACCATGAATCCGCCTTGTGGACACATCCCTCCCATTCTCTCCAGTTAAAATGCCTCCCAAAGGAGACAGTGCCGCTTCCACGTGGGTTCCATAACCCCCCACCCACCCACCCCCACGCGCGTCCCCGCCGGCCCGTCTCACCTGCCAGCCGACCGAACTCCCTCTCCCGCAGCTGGCTCAGGCTGCGCGAGCCGTAGCCGTAGGCGAGGCGCGGCTTGCTCAAGGCTCGGAACCGCTGGAAAGACAGCAGCTGGGCCTCGGGATCTGCCGCGGGGCCAGCCATGGTCCGAGATCGCCGGCCGCCGCGCAGTCCGGGCCCGGCCTGCCCGAGAACCGCACTGGGCGGGCGAGAGGCGACTCCGCCCCGACCGCGCCCCCGAGGCGGGCGGCCCGGGGACTCGGGTCGAGGGCCGAGGGGCGGCGCCGGGAGGACTGGCTCGCCCGGGCCCGCAGCGGTGCGCTGCCTCACCGAGTTTCACTTCGGTCCGACTTCCTCCCACCTGGGGACAAGGGGAACGAGCGTCCGATTTTGTTGTCTTAGAAAATAAAAAAAGAAACCTCCCAAATGGAGCCCTCAGAGCTGCACCCCGCCCACCGAGACACCTGCTCTGCAAAGTTGCAAAGTTCTCCAAGTTGTACGGGCGTCCCTGGGAAGGCAGGTTGGAGACGCGATGACGTGCCCGATCCTGCTGGGCATTCAAAACCCTGGGGTTCTCCCGGCACCCCCGGAAGGGACCTGGCTGGGGAGGGCGGGCGGGACTTTTGCCCGCAGGCTGCGCCCCGGTGGGGCGTGTACTTGGTGTTGCCAAGAGTGCAGCTGAACCAAGGGCAGGCAAGGAAAAGGAGTGCACTGCCTAGTAAGTTTCTCGAGGGTGATCAAGGTTGGAATAGCTAAGCTGGGGTGCCACCGACTCCGGCAAAACTCCTCCTCTGCTCTGCTCTCCAGCCCGCACTTAGGGCGACCGGGTCGGAGCGACTGCGTCCCCCGGTGCGGGTCCTCACGCACCGCGGCCTGGCGAACCCACAGATGGGAAATTCAGGGGCTGGGAGGTGGCAGCGGCAGGAGAGTGGCGGTAAGTAGCTCAAGCGCGAGCCCAGGTTCGGGATACCAGGTGCGCAGAACGGTGTGGCTGGAGACCAGGTAAGACGAACCCAGACGAGGCACTGGATGAGGAACCGAATTTGGGAAGGCAGCAGCGCCGAACCAGGAGGAGGGAGATCAGATGGGAGGGCGGAGTTCGGTTGCAGGCTTGGCAGAGGACCCAAGCCTGGAGTTTAGGAGTGGGTCCCGGTGGAACAGAGTAGAAAGTGGGCCACGCCCCAATGCCACAGCCTGCGCGGTGGCCAGGACCCGGGACACCCAGGGTGTCAGCCATCTCCTCACTGCTGCCTGCCTGTCAGAGATGGCTGTAAGTCCTAGCGAGGTACAGCTGAGACCCAGCCATACAGAAATGATTCAAGCACAATGGAGGTTCTGAAGGATTGGCTCAGGATGCTGCGACTGGGAGATTAGTAGTACGGGGAGGACCCTGTGTATGGAAGGAGACTATTATGAAGCTCCCATCTGGACATTTTGCATTGAAAGATTTGAACTCAGGACAGGTGCTCTACCTCTTGAGCCACTCCTCCAGCCCCAATACATGGTCATATCTAAATGGAGATTCAGACCCAGGACAGAGCATCTGGGGTTGGAGCCATTTGGAGGGCTGTGGAGAGGGCACCTCAGAAACTCAGGAAAGAGGGAAGAGGCTAGAGAAAACCACAGTGAGTGGCTTTAAAGGGTTGTACCTCATGCCACAGATAAAAGAGAGCCAAAGAATGACACCTTGACAGTATCTGGGACTAAGAGGCTATGTGGAAGGAATAGCACTGAATGTGCTGGTTAGGGGCTGCATGGTGACTTAAGTTGACACAGAGAAAGGCAGCTGGATTTTAATGGCCAATTCTTGAATGGTGAAGAAGGGTAGACCAGCCTTTTGGCATAATCTTGAAGGAAGTAGAGGGGGCTGCAATTATGAATCAAACTTCTTGCCAAATTGTCAGGGTGTGGTGATGGGTGTTTCTAAAAAGGCTCCAAGTTGGTCAGATAATGAAACTAATTTAGTATTTCCTGCTACAGTGAAATGCACATTCTCTAACAGGAGAACCTGTAGTATCAGAGCAGCAGGAAGTCAGAAGAAGGAGTGGAAGTTCACGCAGAGGAGCAGGTTTTTGTCTAAGTCTCACTATGCGCTCCAGTAGAGGCAAGACCAGAAGCCCTGAAAACTTCCTCCCCTGGAGTGATTCAAGACCTTTTCAATGAATAGAAGCTAAAAGGACAGCTTGGAATTATGACATATTTGGAAAAAAAGAATCCATTATATTAATATTCATAATGCTCAAGACAACAAAACCCCAACAGTACTAGCAGACCACAGGGCTGAGAGGATGGGTGGATCCAAAAGCAAGCAGCTTCCTCAAGTTGTTTTCTTGAGTTTGTTTCTCCCTAAGTTCATTCAGAAGCAGGTCCACTGAGCCAGTCCAACCTCTCCCTGGTCATTTCTCTGGGAACACCTCACCTCTTTCTCTTTGCCCCCAACTTTTTATATCATTCTGCAAATATTATGTTGTGCTAGATGCTATGGATAAAAAGAAAACCATCTTCATCAAACTCTAACACTGAGGGAATAGCTCAGTGGTACAGTGCTTTCCCAGCATACACGAGTCCCTGGATTGGATCCCCAGCACCAAAAGAAAGAAAAAGAGAAGAAAAGGGGAAATAAAGGGAGAAAGAACAGAAGGGGAAAGGAGGAAAAGAGGGGTTAGGGGAGCCAGCTGATGTTCATGCTTAGGCTTTATACTGAACTTGAATTGTTTGCTCATGCAGTATCCATTGGCCCTCTGCTCTTGGTTTGGACAGAGCCAACCATGAGGTCCCTGGCCCTGCGTCCAGATCCAGAGCAGGTCATCTCACAGCCCGTTAGCTCAGATGGGCAAGCCACTCACTGTGACTTTCTTTCCTACCGTGATTAGTTAAGAAATGGTCCCATCAGTATAGTCTTCATGTTTAGAGATTATTCCCATTGATAGCAGCAAGGAAGTATGTAATCTTGGGATCTGCTTGCTCCCTTTTTATAACCTTGACAGTGAGGGAGAAAAGCCTGTGGAGAAAGCGGACACCAAGAGGACAGAATAGCAACAAAAATAAATGACTGATGTCTAACTGTATCTTGGGTATCAGACAAGCATTTTTAATGCATTGTTTCATTTCCTAGCTTCTCCCCATGCTTAGTATGGCCACAAAACTAAATTCTGGCCAAAGAGAGTGGGCAGAAATGTGTGGGACTTCCAAGAAACTTCCTTGAAGTTTGAGACAGTGAAGGTGACTAGCTTAATCAATGATGACACCATCCGCTCAGGTTCCCTTCTAATAAAGCCACGGGCTGGCCATCACAGGTTGTCTTGCTAATAGGATTCTTCTGGCTAGGCATAGCATGAGGATGGCCTTTCTGTCTTTAGAGGAGTCTAAATTCACTTCCATAATTTGCTAGGAGCTAAAGATGATCCATCGTCATAAAGGCCAGAAAACCTATATTATCTGTAAGGACCTCATGAAGCCAGGAATAAAGCAGCAACAAAAGCAGATAGAAGCTGGGCGCTGGTGGCTACGCCTGTAATCATAGCTACTCAGGAGGCTGAGATCTGAGGATCATGGTTCAAAGTTGGCCCGGGCAGGAAAGACTGTGAGACTCTTGTCCCCAATAAACCACCAGAAAACTGGAAGTGGTGCTGTAGCTCAAGTGGTAGAGCGCTCGCCTTGAGCTGAAGTGCTGAGGGACAACGTCCAAGCCGAGTTCAAGCCCCATGACCGAGAAAAAAAAAGCAGACAGAGTACCCTGCTCCTAGTACTCTGCTAGTGTCCATGGGGTATTTTGCTATTATAGATTCTGGGATTTATTACAAGTATTACACAAAAAAATAATAAAAGCCTATTTGGGGGAAAGATTCTAGAAGATAGTGACCTCAGGAGCCACACACTTGTGGTAGTCATCATGGCATGGCCTATGTTCTAGATTAAGGGATTAGTTGTGTTGCAGTGTTTCCCAAGAGCTTTAGGGTCCACCACAACCACCTGAGGTTTGTTCCGTGATTCCTAGTCCTACGCATGGGGAGTATATTTATGAGGTTGGCCTGAGGCCTGAGAATTATGGTGCTGTCCTGTACCAGTGATGCTGCCAGCCAGCAGACAACTTGAATTAAGTGGAACTTGGAAGAAGTGTAGTCTCAGCATCCCTCCCCACACCCACTGAATGCAAATCCCCTAGAGTTAAGGCCCAGCAATCTGTTTTTAACCAGCCTTCCAGGAGAACTTCAGGAGTATCTGCAGCATTCTGAAACTGTCTCTCATGAACCATATGAGTAGCTCAGTAGAGAATGAGAACAGGTCAGTAAGGGAAGGTCTCTTCTAAACAGTCTAGGATTCTAGTGTTGCCAAGATTTCTAATGTAAATGGGAAAATGATTCTGTATGTGAACACTTACTGAATGGCATTTCACAAGTGATTACTGATAAAGATGCTCCGGAACAACTTTAGAAAATTGTCAGCTTGGTTGAGTTATATGCTGGAAAAGGCTCTAAAGGACTAAGTTGGTGGTTGAAATCTGCTCTGGGATCCTGCATGAACTGGAATCACAACAAAGCCCCGTGAGCCAATGTAGGCCAGGTTTTTAGCAGATAAGCAGGAAGATGGTACTTTAGGGTAGGACAGGCTAGTCTAAGGATGGGGAAGCTCAGATACTCATTGCTTTGGTACACACATGCTCATTAACACCACCCCCCCTCCTCCAGCTGAGGGAATAAGGCAAGAATATAGACTAGAACTAAATTGTCCATCTGCCCTAGCCACATGAATAGACTTGAAATGTGGATTGTTTCAAAAGATTCAGACTCTAAGAATAAAGCAGCCCATAGATACGTATGTATATATGTACATATATATATATATATATAGGTATATGTAGATATCTGCACATAAATATGTACATTTTTGTATTAGTGTAAATTTGTGTATCTGTACATATATGTGTACATATGTATATGAATTTTTCCCTCCTTTCTACTGAATGCTAATCAAACACTCAATGATTTTTTTTTTTTGTATTGATAATGAAGTAAGGTCAGGTCTGGCTGGTGCCATATTGGCCACATGGTGAATTATAGGTCTGGCATCTTGTCTTCATGCTGGGGGAAGGAAACTGCCCCCCCCTCCAATCATGGCCTCCCAGGTAATGGGCATGCCCGACCCCTGGAGGCAGGGGCAGGCACTCAGCTGATAGGTTACTGAATCTGTCAGTCCAGTGCCTAGGACTAGGAATTTCCTGAGGATCTGCCCCCTTTGCCAACCTATTTAGGCCCCGACCAACCTAGCCACTGGACTTCATGCCACTTGTGTCTCTGTGATTGTGTCCTGTGTCCTGGCTCATCTCCACCATCATGGAGTTCCAATTCAGCTCTCCATTGGAGCTGAATTGGCTTGTTGGTATTGTTTTTGTTATTTTCTTTCCCATTTTTTTTTTTTGGTCCCATTGTGGGGCCTGAACTCTGGGCCTGGGCGCTGTCCCTCAGCTCTTCAGCTCAAGGCTAGTGCTCTACCACTTGAGCCACAGCACCACTTCTGGCTTTTTTCTTATGTGGTACTAAGGAATCGAACCCAGGGCCTCATGCATGCAAGGCAAGGGCTCTACCACTGAGCCACCTTCCCAGCCCCATTTCTTTCCTTTTTAGCATGCTTACTAGTTATGTGTATTTGCGTGTTGTATGTATTTGCGTGCTGCAGCCTTTGTAACAACTGGCGGCCTGCAGCCTATTAATTCCAGTATTCTATATTTTAAAATGTGGCTTCTGGGATGATTTACCTTACAACAACAAAGTCCTTCAACATATGTGGGAGATTCATTCCAGAATCTGATAGATGCCTAATTCCAAGGATGTTCAAATCCTTTATATAAAAGGCTGTAGTATTTGCATGTAACTTAAGATTTATATTACCTATTACAGTATAAATGCTATGTTTTTCATTTTTCAGAGAATAACCACAAGAAAAGTTTGCACACATTAAGAAAAGATTCAACTTTCTCCTCTCCAAACATTTTCAATACATGATTGGTTCATCAATGGATGTGGAACCCATAGAGAGCCAACAATAACTGATGTAATACATATGTAATTAAACTCACACAATACTCCTACTGTACTAAAAGAAAGTTCCATCTAGAAAGTATGACTAAACTCCTTTGGAAGAAATACATGCTAGACCATGGCATCCCACCACAAAATCCTCACCTGCCTTCTTTCAGTGTGTTCAACATGCCAGAAGTAACTGTGTCCCAGCCAGTGAGGCAAATGCCACTTTAACAGCAGTTCCAGGATACCTCTGAAAACTCTCATCACCCCTAACTTCTCCCTATACAAAGCCCAATCTCTAATCTCCATCTGTCCTGACCTATGTCTAACCCTCAGCCGGCACACCCAACATTGTTTCTATTGCCTTCTTCTTCCCTCTACCTCCTCCCTGGGAACATACATCCTGCATTCTCCTGGCTTTATCCAGCACATAAATTCAGATGACCTGGAACTCATTTCTCAGCAATTAAATCTATCATTTTAAGAGTCAGGATATTGTATTTAAGTAAACCCCTAAAAGAAGAATCCATGTGCCTTTATAGCATAAAGAACAGGACAACATGACAAATTTCTAGAATGTAAATACTAGGAAGAACAGGTCAAGACAGTTAAAATACTGGGTGTGGTGTGTTTATAAAGAATGCTATGATAAAAATAATATTGGTTTCCTTTTTTATTTTCCATATCTTTCCTCTGAAGAGGACAATAAATAATTGTGAAGAGTCCTAAAAAGAATGCTGTAGTCAGGATATTGTTTGAATGTGTTCCTCAAAGGCTCCATGAACTGGAATTTTGGTCCTCAATGTGGTGATGTTCATGTTGAGAAATGCCTGAACTTTTAAGAAGTGAGGCCTACTGGGAGGTAATAAGGCCTGTAAGAGGAACTATTACTTTTTTAACAGGGATAATTTATCTCTGAGGTGCGTTCTCATGAGAAGGTACTGTTCTGAGTATCAGCCTAACCATGTGAAGAAAAACCACTGTGATTCTATCTACCATGAGGCTGTCACTAGTACAGAGGAGATGCCAGGGCCAGGCCCTTGGACCTTCATAGCTCTTGAATTTCATAAACTTCCTTTCTTTATAAAGTATCCAGCCTGATTTTGTTATAGCAACACAAAATGGATTAAGACAAGGAGGCAAATGAAAAGGCCCCAAAAGAACACAAAACCAGGCAAATTTGGTCAGGAAGAAAAAAAAATGTTCTTATTCTGGGACACACAGAGGCAAGTCAAAGAATCTCAGAAAAGTATAAGCAAAGTTCTGGATATCTGTGTGTATTTTACATATCAGAAAAGAGTCCTTAGCTTTCATCAGATTTTAAGGCTCTCAAATAGGATCATTGTTATCTCACAAATAAAAATCAATTCAATCTTGAAGTAGATAAAGGTGGAGTATTTACATGAGTGTTTTAATACAACAGTGATTGTGTGTGGTTCTGAGTCCATCACAGTGCACATTTGTTAACTCTGTATATCTTCACAGTGTGATCTTCACCACAACTTGCCAAATGGAGCCAGTCACCATCTTCTTCTTCACTCTGTTTGGTTTTTCCATTGCAATTCTTCCAGCATAATTTCTTGATAGCAAGTGTATGACTTTGGCTGAAATCAAGACAGAGAATTAAAGTAGGCCACAACTACACAATATTTTACCAGATGCTTTCCCATATGCTAATGTAATTAGTTAAAAAAAATTAAAGTGTATTGATTTTTAATATCATCAGCAATACTTTAGCAACTTTATTTTACTTGGAAAATATATTACTCTATTTACTTTTAAAATGATCAGACTAAATATCTTACTTACTGCCCTTGACACCAAAAAGAGCAAGAAACAGACACTGAATTTCTGTTGAATGTTGTTTTAGTGATTAATTTATGAAATAACTAAACCAGTATTTCAGATAACAATACTGTATCTTTTTCTGAGAATTTCATCATTATTATATATTCTAGATTATCTTTCTGACATCTCTGTGAGATGAACTGACTTCTACACACATTTTTACCACTGAGTAATGAGATAACAGAATGAACTATATCATGTAAGAGTCTTGGCCTTCACTATGACTACTACAGTATATGATATTGATAGTCCTTTCCCCACTAAAAGACAGGTCTAGATTGTTACCAAATGAAGATCAGTAATAAATCTCCATGAAAATACAACATCCTCTATAAACTTAACCTGCAAACATCCCCAAAACAAAATGAACTGAAAGCTCCAGGTAGGTTTTAAAGTAGTAAACACTGGAAACAATACCACAATTTGCTTTACATTTTCAGATGCTGAAAGCTCCTGTCACCAAATGTAATCTCAAGATAAAAAGAAAAATTGGGTTAGCTTCTTAAGAGGATAAGATTTATAACTGTGGTTTGAAGCCAACCACGTAGAAAACTCCATGAGATCTTCAATTTTAATTGTATTTATTGATTGATTTGATGCCAATACTGGGGCTTGAAGTCAGAGCCTGGACACTGTCCTTAACTTTTTTACTTAAGGCTGGTGTCCTACCACTTGAGCCACAGACTTCTGGCTTCTTTGTGGCAGTATATAAGCAACATAAAAGGAGGAAAAAGAGAAGTAAGGGGAGCCTGGCGAGAAAAGAATTTTCAAATGATTGGCATATGTAGTATCAAAGGATTTCTATCTTCAGTAAGTAAATAGAACAAACTATTTCAACTGCTAACGTCACTAACAAAGAGATGGGAGCAAGACCATGAGAGCTACAATAATAAAAGCAGATGGGCTGGGCAGGTGGCTCCGTGGTAGAACGCTTGCCTTGCAAAAAAAGCAGAATCTAATTTTAATATATCACAATAATTATAAGGTATACAAACATGCTTGGCTGATATGAAAACAGACTTCACCAGATGAAATAGCTTGAAAAAGACATATGCTCACAAATATCTCTCCATTAAGCCATTCACTCTGCATTACTGTATTGCTATATGGAATTATATCTTAAATTATATAATACAGATAGAAGAAAAAGAGAGGAAGCTTCAGAACATGGGATGGGTGATCTAGAATAATACTAGTGACCTACTGACAGAATAAGGGGAGTATAAAAGTAGATTACAGATGACCTCTGTGCTTTACTTCAAGCTCTGTCCTGTAATTCAAGCTACTTGGGAGGATGAGATCAGAAGGAAGCCCTTCTCAAGACCCCTTGAGATCCCTCCTCAAACAATTCCAAGGCATGGGAGCATGTATCTGTCATCCTACACCCATGGGTGAATGGAGTTAAATCATGGTCCCAGGCCAGCTAAGGCAGGTAAGTCTGTTATATTCTATCTCAATAGAAGAACTTGGGTGCAATAATGCATACCTATGTCCAGATACCTAGGGCAGAAAGCACTACCTGTGCTTAAAAACAGCCAGTCATAGGAGCCTTAAGGAATGTTCCAAGTCTATGCCATATAGTATCTGAGATAAAGTATTCAATTACAAATATAGCTAACAAAGCACAATTTACATTATTTCCAAATATCACACCAGTATATATAAAAATATAAGAATCTGTTGTATTCAAATTCTAAAACCCTTGATAAAACTACCCTCACCTTGATTGTGTTTGTAAAAGCAATCAAGCAAGTTGGTCAAGCAAATTGCAAAAAATAGTGCTACATTATAACAACTATCAATTTTAAGAAGTAACACTATTAGTAACAAGCATGATAGATACAGATATGTGCTTTTCTACATGAAAACAGGGCATTAAATTTGCTACTCAACACCTCTATTTAATCTATCTAATCTAATCTGATAGAAGCAAAAAACACAAAGCAAATACCTTTGACTTGTTTCTACACACCGGTTCCAGTCGTTTATTTCTGGCACTTGATCAGTCTTTCTCCAAGTATATAAGCAAATCTTACCACATTCTAATCCAATTGCAACCACATATCTGTTTTAAGAGAAGGAAATAACAGTGATTAATTGAGCATGAATTACTGCTATCTCCATCACTTCTCTAACATCACAATGTTGTTATATATAATTGTTATATGGAATTGTCCCCAACTTAAAGATGTCAGCCCAGGATACACTGTGATGCTCCACTGTGTCTTCAAGGAGCCAGAAAAGGAACACAGGCTTTCCTCTAGTCTTGGCTGGAAAAACCCATGAGTCAGTGCTTTCTCAGCTGACTAGTAGGACCCCTGTTCTATCACAAGGACTTTTTCTTTTAAACAAAGAAAGTACTATGATTCTATAGTTGGTGAAATAAGAACCTTCAATCACACCAATATATATTTCAGCTATCTGAATCACTGAGTACTATCAACTTAAAAATTATTATAAGAAACCTAAGTATTGGAAAACAATAGCAACTCAGAAGCAAAGTGAGCACATGAATTAAAATATTGACAAACCAAGCAGTCCTCTTCAAAGAAATATGAAACCAGGCCCCACACAGAGACTGACCTTTGGGAAGAGTTAAATGCTGGGCAGACGCTGACAGCAGTTACAGCCCCACCTACATCCAGGACTGAGGAGCAGGGGCCAATGCTGTTCTCCATGCAGTCATCATTGGAGTCACACTCACCCCAGACGACCACCTGACAGACAGATCACTTTGTAAAGTTTTCTTCTTGCAACACTTCGATGTAAGTATGAGTTCTGATAGCATGGTGAAAAATACCTGCCCTGATACTTTTAAATCTGTAGTTTCTTTGTTTCTGTTTTTGTTTTTGGTCAGTTGTGGGGCTTAAACTCTGGGTCTGGGCACTGTCCCTCAACTTTTTAGCCCAAGGCGAGCACTCTACCGCTTGAGCCACAGTGCCACATCTGTTTTTCTGGTGGTTTATTGGAGATAAGAGTCTCACAGACTTTCCTGTCAAATTTGTAACTCTTACATTTGTGTGTGCTGCTTCAAAACTTCAGGGCATTTCAAGCATCACTGTGGTATCTGCCACATTGTGGCAGGTCTTAAGACCTCAACTACCTAAGTGTGTTGACCTACTGCCTTCCCACAGACCCAGTGAAATTCTAGCAGTCATGTCTTCATGGAAGGCACATATACGTCCCCAAAAGGTTACTCAAAATGTATGGAGACCCATCAAATCTCTACTTCCTCCTCTACATCACTCATCAGGAGGACATTGCCTTGATATTCCTCACAGACCTGAGGCTTCTCTGGAACCTCAGGCCTCATGGTATGTTACTTCTAACAAAGAAAAGGAAAGGGAAGTGAAATGGGCAATGGCTGTAAAACATGGACTAAAGAAAGATTCTGAGCAGAAGCCTCTGGCAGAGCCAGCAAAAACACATACATTTGTAAGAATGTGCGGCAAATACCTCTTGGCCTATTTCACCCTTGCTAGATCCTTGAGAGCTGTGACTGGGCCACTTTCTGTTGGGTTGACTATGGAGGGCAGAAACAGTGCTGTTTCCTCAGCATGGATCAATCAGTGCCACCAAGAAAAAGGCAAAGAAATAGAAGTGATTGCCTGTAAGAAAGATGACTGAGAGATTGGCACTAAAGTATTTAACCCAAATGACACCAAGGCCTCTAACAAGCCTTGATCGAGGAATCTGTACCATGTGTATGACTAGAAGAAAAAAGAAATGCTAAGCTACCTTAAAACCTCTCGTTTGTAGCAAATGCAAAGAGAAGATATTTTCAAGAAAATGAAAACAGAAGGAAGAACATGGGTTAAGTTCAACATTTCCCAGAGAACAAGAGAAGTCATGTTTAAAAGCATAAACAGTGCTGGGTGCCAGTGACTTACACCTGTAATCCTGGCTAGGCAGGAGTTTGAGATCTAAGGATTGGGGTTTGCAGGAAAGTCTGCAAGACTCTTAGCTCCAATTACAACTAGGAAACTAGAAGTAGCACTGTGGCTCAAAGTGGTAGAGCATTAGCCTTGAGTGTAAAAGCTCAGGACAGTGCCAGGGTCTGAGGTCAAGCCTAATGACTCACATTAAAAAAATTTAAAAAATAAAAAATAACTAGCTGTTTTTGACTTTTCAGTCTTGGATCATGGTCCATCCTCTTCTATTTCTGAATTTTTTATGTAGCAATATTCACTATAGAAAAGTGTTTAAATTTATGAAAATATGAATCAGAGAACCAGAAATTATTTTGCAAGTTCTGCTCTTTTCCTTGAAACATGTCAAAAAGTTCACCCCATATTTTTAATATTTCAAAGAACTATATCTGTTCAATTTAACAAGCAAAAAAAGCTTTTATATATATCAGAAGCAAGGTACTTGTGGCTCATACTTATAATCCTAGCTATTCAGGAGGCTTAGATCAGAGGATCACAGTTTGAGGCCAGCATAGGCAGAAAAACCCATGAGAGTCTTATTTTTAAGTATCTAGCAAACAAGCCAGAAGTAAAGGTATGGCTCAATGATAATATGCCAGGATTGATTGAAAAAAAAGTCACAGCATGAGGCCCTGAGTTCTAGCCCCAGAACTGGAATACACACAAAAAAGTTATATCAGAAAGACAGTATTGTGTATTTTATTCAATCATACCTGCAAAAATGTTAATTTACATTTGAAATATATATTAAGTTTTTTCAAAAGTACCTTTTTGTCTCGACTCCCAGTGAAGAAATATTTACTATCAGGACTCCAATCACAGGACCAAATAATTCTACTGTGCACAGAAGTGATTTTGTTGGTGAAGGCAAAGAGACTGAAAATTGGATCTGAAAAATACATGTATACAGTACTTAAAAAGCAGAAAAAACTTTTTACCTTAGATAGTCCTGCTTAAGTGCCAAATGAATTGTACAATCAGTAATTGATTTCCATATGTTCACTTTTCCAACTGACCCCTCACCACAAGTCTGTACACACATAGCTTTTCTTCTAGTAGGGGATGCTTCTATATCGACCAGCCAACTCTTTAGTGACTGACAATAAACAGTTTTGAGAGATGGCCAAAAAAGAATTTAATTGATGCTTCTCAGAGAAGCCTGAAACGAAAGGAAGGGAGGACACAAATAAGAGGAAAAAAGAAAGGAAAGAAGGGAGAGAAGGATCTTAAGAAAAATGTTCTTTGTAAGGTTTAAATGTAAGGTAACTTTATATGGCCTAAACCTGTAACATGTAACTGCTTATAAGGAAAGAAAGGGAGTAGATTCATTAATTTAAAATCCATAAAGACACAAAAAATGGTATATATGTTACTTATAGCACTGTTTGTTTTTTGTCAGTTGTGGGGCTTGAACTCTAGGCCTGAGCGCCGTCCCTCTAGCTCTTCAGCTCAAGGCTAGCACTCTACCATTTGAGCTACAGTAACACTTCTGGTTTTCTGGTGGTTTATTGGAGATAAGAGTTTCATGGACTTTCCTGCCCAGGCTGGTTTTGAACCGTGATCCTAGGATTTCAGCCTCCTGAGTAGCTAGGATTACAGGCATGAGCCACCAATGCTCAGCAATTTTTAAAAAATATTGTATGTCAGGAAATCACTAGTGATGAGAAGGAAAATACAGATGTTCCTCAACTTACAATTGTGTTATGCACTGACAAACCAACTGAAAAGTAAAAATACCGTTTAATAAAAAATGCATTTAGTATAACAACCTAGCAGACATCAATGCTTAGCAACACAACACATTGAAGAGAGCTGGTTCTTTATTCTGTGATCATGAGGCTGCTGGGAGCTGCAGCGTGCTGCCATTGTTCAGCAATGAACTCATATAGCTAGCACAGGAAAAGATAAAATTCAAAAGTTGTCACTATGTTTCTACCAGATGCATGTCACTTCATCTACTGCAAAGTTGACCAATTCCTAAGTTAAACCATCTGATTTCAGGGAACATCTGTAATCTATGCTAACACATACTTCTGAGCATGTTTTGTAATTCCTAGATATTCCCTATTCTCAACGGAATAGAAATATTGATGGATCAGATACAATACAAATCATATCAATGTATAATGAAAAATTCAAGCTTAAGTGAAATAAACACATTTTAAATGTTCCCTAAAATTCAGGAACCAGAAGAAATTAGGGGAATAGTATATAGAGATAACAATAAAAGCTTCATTCTTTTCTTTTTTAAAATATATGCCAGATCTGAGCAGACAACAACCTGCCCAGGGTCACATCATCCAGACACATGCCTAAATAGCCTTTCCTAATGTGACAGAGAAGGGTAGGAAAAGCTAACTGTCTCCCATAAGTGTCCTAATTTAAAAATCTCTTTACATTTATAAACTAGTTTAGACAGAAGAAACTACTCCACTACAAGTTTTCTTGGTAATATTTTCATTATTTCACTCCTATAAAATCCTAGCTCAGAATGCATTAGCCACCTGTTTTAGTGATGACATTCTGTAATTATTTGCAGAATTTAATTTTCTACGTGCAAATGTCTAAACATATATTGAGACTGCTGAACACATGCCATCCTGAATATATAATCACAAGAAGTAAGCCACAAATCACTTGTAATTATTTAAATCTTACTCGGAAGCCTAAGTCTCCCTCAGTTATCCAAAAACTGAAAGGCTTCATCACAGCATGGGGCTCTGCCCTCACCTTGCTGCCTATTTCTCTTTACCATACAGCTGCTTAATGTGTCTATGATAGATATAACTCCTTCACTAGTAACTTTCCCAGTCAAAAGCTGTTTTACCGAATTCAGGTGAGATTGTGTCCTGCCTTTTCCACAATGACCAGGTTCGATCTCTGGAAACAGCCAGTAAGAATTTGTCATTAGGTGAGAAGGCCATTTGGGTGACAGTCAGACTGTGGAAAACTAAGTTCTGCACCTGTTTCCAAGATGTAGTGTTCCAAAGAATGATAGCTGCATGCTCTTTCTTAGCTGCCTGTGAGACACACATGAAACACAAAGCTATTTAACCAGAAAGAAAACATTAAAAATAATATATTGTTCCTATGTGTATATTTTACATAGCTATTTAAAAAAAAAGAAAAAACTCACTTCTAAAGGCTAGGCACTGGTGGCTCATGTCTGTAATCTTAGTTGCTACTCAGGAAGCTAAGATCTGAGCATCATGGTTCAAAACCAGCCCAGGTAGGAAAGTCCATGAGACTTTTATCTCCAATTAACCACCAGAAAACTGGAAGTGGCTCTGTAGCAGTAGAGTATAGCCTTGAGCAAAAGAGCTCAGGGACAGCCCCCAGGCCCTGAGTTCAAACCCCACAACCAACAACAACAAAAAAAAAACCTTCAAAAGACCATAAAACTCCAAGAAAGTAACATCCAGTGGCAAAGGCTAATCTCTAGAAAGAAGTGGAAAAAAGTAGGATAGAAAAGATTAATCATAGACGGTGCTGGAGGCTTATACTATAATCCTAGCTGCTCAGGAGGCTGAAATCTGAGGACTGCAGTTAAAGCCAGCCTGAATAGGAAAGTCCATAAGACTCTTATCTCAAAAAAATGCCAGAAGTAGAACTGTGGCTCAAGTGGTACAGCATTAGCAGATCATGGACAGCACCCAGGACTTAAGTTCAAGCCCCAGGACTGAAACACACATACACACACACACACACACACACACACACACACACCACATACAACTGAAAAGATGAATTATCAAGTATCTGTGCTGCACACATAACATTTCAACACTTTTTAAAGAAAAACACCAACCCATGATTAGGATCATTTTAAAAGGAAGAACAAATTCTTTTTTAAAAAAAGAATCTACAGCTACAAAAACTGCATTACAAAAAAGAAAAGAAAACCCTCAAGAGAGAAAAATGTCTGGTGAAAAAGTATTCCCACCACATGGTAGGATTATTTCCATACATATACGCAATATACAGAGCACTTGTATGGAAATATATCTGCATGTATGTAGAGAAATATCACAATGAAACCTGTGTACCACATAGGTATGCTAGTTCAAAGAAATGGAAAATCAAAGTGGAATCAAAATAAAAAATAATGAATCCAAAAGAAGTAAAACACAACAGATGGATCTGAGAAGACAAATACTGTGAGTTATATCCAACCAGTTTTCACATTAATATAGATGAAATAGTAAATTCTCCTATTAAAATGAAAGACTGACAACAGATGAAAAAGCAAGACTCAATTGTATATTACCTCTGAACAACCCACTGAAATAAAATGAATACCTTAAAAATAAAATCGTGGAAAAAGATGCAAAGTTTCAAAATGCAACTTTCAATAAAACTGAAAGCATAAAAATTTGAGCAATATCAACAAACTGATATAATTAGTTATACAACACTCCATCCAAAAGTACAAAACACACATTATTTTCAACTGAATGTAGATACTAAGCAAGATTTGTTTCAAAGGGTTCAAGTGATAATATGGTCTCTGATCAAAATAAAACTAAACCATAAATCAATGAAAGTAAAATACTTAGAAAACACTTAGTAAATGGAAGCTAAATAATATATTTTGAAGTATCCCACTGGTCAGAGATGAATCAAGCTGAGTGCTGGGGGCTTATACCTGTAACAGCTAATCAGGAAACTGAGATCTGAGGATCTCAATTCAAAGCCAGCCCAGCGAAAGAAAGTCCGTGACACACTTATCTACAACTAAACACCAGAAAATTGGAAGTGGAGCTATGGCTCAAAGTAGTAGAGCACTGGTCTTGAGCAAAAAGGACAGGGACAGTGCTCAGGTCTTGAGTTCAAGCCCCACAACCCACAAAATTTTTTTAAAAAGAAAAGACATGATGAATCAGAAGAAAGTCAGAAACTAGTTTTAATTGGATGAAAATTTTAAAAGCACACTTAACTTTATGGAAATAATTATTTTGAAAAACTGGGTCCCAACGTATGAGCATCTGCCATAAAGAGCTGTGAGACTGGAGATCCAGAGTATACTTTACTGGGCCTCACTCACAGGCATGATTGTGGGCAGCAAGACCAGTTAATACCAAGATGGTCAGAAATGGAGCTTATAAAATAGTCAGGACCAGAGTGATTACATCTTGGCAGAAATGTTCCTCATTATCTTAAGCTACTATCAAGAATGTCCTGGCTCCCATAATATCAGGATCTGGGTCATAAAACTCTACATATACTCTAATGGTTTTGGTTTTCTTTTATAGTTTGCTGGGAAAAACAGATCAAAGTTACTCAGAGGCAATCAAAATAATTATGACTCAAGACGGCTGTGGTCTGGTCAAACAGTGTTTCTATAAGCCTGAAAACAATATTCAGAGGGGAAAAAAACCAAAGAGGAGATACAATCTAAATAAGTAGAAAGAAGGAAATACAAGTGAACATCAGTGATAAAAAAGAATAGCAAAGAAAATCAGTGAAATAAAAAATTGACTCTTTGGGAATATAAAATCATCAATTTACTGTTCAATTTCCAGAATGCTCCATTCCAATGCAGAGCACAAAGGAGGAAAAAACTGAAATTGCCAGCAGTAGAAACATAAAAGTAACATAAGTGGAGTTTCTATGATTATTAAAAACATCATAAGGCAATATTATGGAAAGTTTGTGCCAGTAAATTTGAAATACCAAATAAAGGGATAAATTTCCTGAGACACTGACTATGAAAGTCCAGGAACAATAGATAATCTAAATATTCTCATTAATAACCACTATAATAGATCATCTAAATATTCTCATTAATAACTACTAAAATGCAATTAAAAACCTTTTTGCAAAAATCATTGGAATCAGTTGACTTTAAATGAGAATTCTATGAAAAATTTTAAAAGTTATGTCAACACTACACAAACTATTCGAGATTTGTAAAGAAAGAATTACTTCTATGATGCATTACATGACAAACATGGGGCCATTGTGAGGAAAGAAAACTGAAGTGTGATAACCTTCATAAACTACTGAAAATGTTTAACAAAATTTTAGCAAATAGAATCCAATGATATGCAAAAAGACAATACATTATGAAGAAGTTGATTTTGGTTATGGAAATGCTAAATTGGTTTATCAGCTTTGAAAAAAATAAATAAAATTTATTTTTAAAAAGAGAAACAGAGAAGCGGGTGCCGGTGGCTCACGCCTATAAACCTAGCTACTCAGGAGGCTGAGATCTGAGGATCGTGGTTCAAAGCCAGCCCGGGCAGGAAAGTCCGTTAGACTCTTATCTCCAATAAACTGCCAGAAAACCAGAAGTAGTGCTATGGCTCAAAAGTGGTAGAGCGCTAGCCTTGAGCTGAAGAGCTGGGGGGACAGGCCCACAGTTCAAACCCCATGACAAAAAAAAAGAGAAACAGAGGAAGAAAAAGAATTTCCAAAATTGAGCATCCATACCTAACTTCAGGGAAATTCTATAAACACATGAAGATGAAAGCTATAGCAAACAACAATTTCAATGAAGACAGGAATGTTTGTTTCTGATATGAGAACCAAACAAACATGTTTGCTGTCATCACTTCTATTAAATATTAAGACACATTATTGAGATAGAAAAGATTTTCATTCATAGGCAACATAACCATCTAGGTGGAAAATCTTCTGGTTGCCACAATAAAGCTATGGACTATATACACCAAAAAGCAGGCACTTGGGCTCACTAAACAAATACTTCTGGATTTAAGGTACTAATAGCACCAAAGACAATAGTGGTACACTTCCCATACATATCCCAATGGGTCATCAAAGAAATACCAGATACCAACTGAATAAAACAGACATCTACGTGTATTCCATCCAGCAGCTGCATAATTCTTCTCTTGGATCAAGTGCAAGCTTGGAAGACACACAGTAAGAGAAGCTGAGAAAGTTAAGGTTCAGGAACAGCAGGCACCAGTGGTCTTTCATGTAACATTCCATCTAAATTTCTATCAACCTGCAGGAGCCTCATGACCCAAACAACTTGTGAAGAAAAGGTAAAACTCCCTACCTTACAGGCCGAGGCAAGTAGAGTCTTTGAATTGTTACAAGCAACACAAAATATTTCATAACCATGTCCATATCTAAAATTTAAAGAGAAAATATATGACCTCTATATTAGTAAACAGGTCTGTGCTTATTCTACAAAACATTAAAAAGTGGAATGAGTAACATCAATTTCTCTGTGAACCCACAATTTTTTTAAGGGACAGCACACTTTTGTCTAAGTAAATAGTTGGGGTTAAAAATAGGGAGACTGGCAAAAATGCCAGCTTTTAAGAAAGTAATACAAGGCATTCAAACAATCAGGTTAACATTCAGGTTTCATCTATCTCAGCTGACTGTAACAAATTATGATGCAGCTGGGCACCAGTGGCTCACACCTGTAATCCTAGCTACACAGGAGGCTAAGATCTAAGGATCATAATTCAAAACCAGGGTGGGCAGGAAAGTCCTTGAGACTTTTATCTCTAATTAACCACCAGAAAAAAAAAAAATCCAGAAGTGAAGGTGTGGCTCAAAGTGGTAGAGCACCAGCCTGGAGCAAAAAAGCTCAGGGACAAAGGCCCAGATCCTGAGTTGAAGATCCATGACCAACAACAACAACAAAAATTAACAAGTAAAAGTATTGATGAGAGCCATCAAAGACAAAAAAGGCTTAATCTTACTACCTAGGAAGGTAAGATCTAAAGATTATGGTTCAAAGTCAGCAGGAACTGGAAAGCCTCTGAGATATCTCTCCCATGAACTATCAAAAAGTTGAAAATGGAGCAATGGCTCAAGTGGTAGAATGCCAATGTTGAGCAAAAGAGCTAAGAGATGGTAGCCAGACCCTGTACTGGCAGCCTCAGTACTGGCACCAAATAAAAAAAAAATTTTTTTTAAAGAGTAAAAAGAGGACCAGGCAAATAACAAAGCTTAAAGTTTTTTTTGTCTTACTTTGTTTTTTCTTTTTTGGAACTGGGGATCAAACACTTGCCAGGCACCCATTTTGCCACTGAGCTATATCCCAGTCCTTAAAATATATACTATATTATGCCTAATTTAGAAAGACCAATAAACCTGATACGTATAATCAATAGCAATACAAAGATCGATGTGAGATTTGATTTGATCCTATCCCTCTGAATAACCACTAAAAACATGATTGAGCAGAGAAAATGTATACAGGGGCTGGGAAGGTGGCTCAGTGGTAGAGCACTTGCCTTGCATGCATGAGGCTCTGGGTTCGATTCCTCAGCACCACATCAGAAAAAAAAAAAAGCCAGAAGTGGCGCTGTGGCTCAAGTGGTAGAGCAGAAGCCTTGAGCTGAAGAGCTAAGGGACAGCGCCCAGGCACAAGAGTTCAGGCCCCACGACCGAACAAAAAAAAGAAAATGTATACAGGAGAAAGGTAACAGAGAAAACTAAGTTGCAAGGAGGAATAAAATCCTCAGGTTATGATAGAATCAAACCAGAGAATACACTGTGACTTACAGCTTTTGAACTTCAGGCCACAGAGTGTTCTGCAGAAGGTGATCCTCAGTGGGAGGCTCTATATAGAAAAATAAACACTCATTTAGCCATCAACAAGATATTATAGTCTGTATACCAATGATTTTATTAAATTATGTATTTGTCACTCCTTACCAGTAAGTAGAGAAGGTTGAAAGGGCACTTGTTGATATTCAAAGCCAGTACTAGTTAACAGCTGCTCTTCATCAGAAGGCTGAGAAGCTATATCTCCTAGTTTAAAAAACATGTCAAAACCATGCATGGAGTCACTATATCTTTATGTTTCAATTACTGTCTCAAATGATCTGTACAACTTTGGGATATGGTTAGGGGGAAAAGGAAAGCAGGATAAAAATGAGGGAAGGGGTAACAAGTAAGACAAGAAATGTACTTATTACGTTACTTATGTAACTGTAACCCTTCTATACAATTAAAAGAACACTAAGGCCACCCATTAGAAAGTAGTATGGTGTATTTCAAAACTATCCATATGATTTTAAACACAAAGGCATTTCTATTGTTTTAGTACTTTCCAAACAAACAGCTATAGACATTAATGAAATCCACAATGATTCCTTCCATGTTCTTTGATCTGACGAGGGTTCACAAATTTCTAAAACCAACTAATAGACTCACGTAGCCCAGATTCAGATCTATTGTTATAGTGCTCTGTAAAACACTTTGAAAGCTGTACCTGTTTCAGTGGTTTGCATATGTACACACTTTGAAAATCATATCTGATGAAGACGGATAGATGTATTGTGATTTTTAAAACAACTGTAGCGAGCATTAGATGCACATTATGCAACTGTGTAATACTTAAAGTGCTCCTATGGGTTCAATAATTTTGGAAACCAAAGTCTTACCCTGAAAAACAGCTTTATTTGATAATCCCAATGCAGGGACAGCAGCTCCTTCTGGAAGACTGCCGTCTTGCTAGAATAAAAAAAAAATTGATATGTAAGGTATTTTGTTTACATGTTTGGTTTATACTTTGGTAGTACTTAGGTTTGAAGTCAAGACCTCATGATTGTTTGGCTGGTGCTCTACCACTTGAGCCTCAACTTCCAGTCCTGCTTTTTGCTGGTTATTTTGGAGATGGAGTCTCATAGACATTTCTGCCTGGGTTTGCTTCAAACTTTGATCTTCCAGACCTCAGCCTTCTTAACAGCATATGGCACCCTAGATGATATGTAAGCTTTAAATCTTAAAAGTTACTGTTATTTCAGGCACTCCAAAATAGTCCCACTCACAAAAGCTTAACAGCAGTTTTAAGACCAACGGGGGGTATCTATTCTTCCACTTCTTGAATCTGATAGATTCAATGTTGAGCAATCACTGTCCTAAAAACAGTCCCTATCCTCAACTCCACCCAACTCATAAAATCAGGAACCTTCTCATCCATAAATTGATCTAATCCTAAAAGACCAATGGATTCAGTCTCAGAAGAAATATAGTAGACTGTAAATAGAAGGCCAGATTTCTGCCACCAAAACAGCTTCATACACACATTCTTGATGATGGTCAAGTGAACACAGAAGCTTCCTGCAAATATATTCATAGTTTTTTCATTGAACATATTTAATGAGGACTGACATTAAAATTGGAAGAGGCAATACTCTGCCTCGGTCTTGCAATTTAAAACAATCAAGTTACTATATGTACGGCTGTAAGCTAACTCAAAAAAATTGCTACATGACTATATGCTAAGAATTTCTTACAATTTAAACTTTAATGCAGGGGAGCTAGGTACTGGTAGTAGTTCATACCTGTGAGTCTACCTACTCAGGAGACTGAGACCTAAAGATCATAGTCCAAGGCTAGCCCTGACAGAAAAGTCTTGGAGAATCATATCCCTGATTAATTAGCAAACACCCAGAAGTGGAGATGTGGCTCAACTGGTACCAGCTTTGAGTGGGGAAAAGCTAATTGAGGGTGTGAGGCCCTGAGTTCAAGCCCTGGTATTGGCACCAAAAACAAACTAGAGTTAAGTAAAAATGTATAGAGGAATACTCACACTTAGATCACAAAGCACATGATTCAGTGATTGCCCTGAAATAGCACAAAAATTTTCCACAAAATTCCGAGGTGCAGAAAAAACTCGAAGAACTTTTTCATCTGCTCCAGATACAAACTGAAATCGACTAATCATTGCCAAACATTTCAGGTCATAACCATGAATCTGAGGTCTTGCAATTTCATGCCAAGTCACCTGGGAATTAAAAGAGGATAACTGAGAATGACTATCTGTTTGAAAAAAACAATTTTCACTAGGCATTGGTAACCTGAAATCCTAGCTACTCATAATAGCAGTTTTGAGGATAGACCAGGCAAGAAGTTTGCTGAAATCCATTTCCAAAATAGTAAGAAAAAAGCAGGACTGGAACTGTGGCCCATGTTTAGTGAGCATGAGACCCTGGGTTTAAACATTAGTACCTCAAAAAAAAGAAAAACTATTTTTTGTACATTTTTTAAACAATAAAAACATGAGGCAACAAGTTAGCAAGAGACCTAGAAAACAATCCAAACCATTTTTTAAACTGATGATACATGTTGTCCAAACTGACAATTTAAATTTAAATTCCTGTCTGAATTGCACAGAGATACTAAGTTTTTAAGAAAACGTTAAGCTGTTTTCTAGAGTGGTTGGGTCATTCCACATGAGATGTCCAAAATACATGAAAGTTCCAGTCATTCTGCAGTCTCACCAGCTATTGTTGTCAGGATTTCTTACTTCAGGCAATCTACAGAGGATATAGTAGTATCTCACCATGGTTTTAATGCATTTTCCTAATGTCCAAGAATGCTACCCCACTTTTCATGTGCTCACAAGAGTTATTTTATATAGATTTAGTAAGTAGGAAGATGTTTTACCTGCGACTGGTCTTCTCTCTTCCATGGAGCAAAAAGACGAGTTGTCTGGTCAGTGCCAACAGTAATAATGAATTCTCCTTCTGGATCCCACATTAGATCTTGAACACCATCAAAGTGTCCTGATATGACAATCTCTGGAGTCCATTCTCTCTACAATGAAAGTGCACATGAACATGACACATACCAAATAATCAAAGACTATCACCACTCAAAGTAGAGCACTCATCTCTGGGAAATACGAAAGAGTAAAGCTCTCTAGAAAGTGAAAAGCTAATATACAAGATGGGACCACCTAATAATAGAAACTATTTTCCAAACAATCAAATATATCCTTTGAAGCTATAGGAAATTTCCCTCAACATTTCTTGATCATCACCTAGCAGCCAGATACAACTTAATCTTTCTGTGGTAAAATGTATTATTACATAATGGCAACTACTCTACAGGACATTAAGAGAATTACATGAGTTTAACTCATAAAATATTCAGAACAATGCTGCCATATATGACAAAGCCCACAAACTAAGTCACGCAAATCCATGAATTTTTCCTTTATAAAAAGTCATCAGATGCACATTCAGAATCTGCTGAGTCATATTTCACTCAATATTTATATTTCTTTGGGTTAATTTATTTTGCTTGTTTATTTATTTAAAATATACTTATAAGCCAAGAGTAGTGGCATATGCATGCAATCCCAGCACTCAGAAGGCTGAGGCAAGAGAATCGCAAGTTTGAAGCCAGCCTAAGCTACATAGGGAGACTCAAACAGCCTTCAAAAACAAAAATTACATGAAAACAAAAACAACACATGTGTATGTATGCAAATCTATACACATACATATAAAACTCCACTTACACAGCATCCAAATTCTGATGGTTTAGTAATTTATTTTATTCTTGCATTTCTTTTGTTTTACATAACAATGGCTATAACTTTTAAAAGCTTTATTCTATAATACCCTTAAGCAGCTTCAAATTATATTATTGGCATATTATCACAAATAGTGAAAATTCAAAATAAATCTTTTTCTTGGTGTATAGAAAATATCCTAAAGAGACTGGCATTTAGAACACAGTACTCCTGTGCTATCTGAAGTAATAATACTTTTGATGCAGTGATACTACAACTTGAAATACAAATTTGTTTCTTTTTGTGATTAATTTTAGAATTTTATTTTTTATTCAGTTCTAGTTGTGAATATGTAGGAAATTTACTTAACTAAAATCAAAGCTAAACAAAAGACTAATAAAAAAAAATACAGTTTCAAGCTAGGCGCCAGTAGCTCACATCTGTAATCCTAGCTACTCTGATATCTGAGGATTGTGGTTTAAAGCCAGCCCAGAGAAGAAAATGCATGAGACTCTTATCTCCAATAAGTTAATAAAAAAGCTGGAAGTAGAGCCATGGCTCAAGTGGCAGAGTGCTAGCCTTGAGCCAACAGAAGCTCAAGGACAGTGACCAGACCCTGAGTTCAAGCCCCAGGACAAGCAGAAAAAAAGAAAGTTTCCATCTGTGTTTGCTTCAGATCATTTTCATATCCATATACAGTAGGAAATTTATCAGTTTTTAAATTAACTTCCTTGTGTTTATTTTAGAACAGATTCTAATTTCCATATAAAAACAAGTATATATATATATATATATATATATATATATATATACATACACACACACACACACACACACACACACACACATACACTTGAGGAGGGTGTGCTAGGGATAAAATGCAGGGTATTAGGCAAGTGATCTACCACTGAGCTACATCTAGTCCCTATACAAAGATTAACTCATTTAAGTATCATTCAATACCTCAACAATGCTCTATTATCCGAATATGACGTCACTTCAACTTAAACGTCTCTACTATGTTTTACTATATTAAACTATGTGTTACTTATAATTCATAAGTAAAAGACTACTTGCTAGGTTTCTTGAGAAGTCATTAATTTGATTAGAAATGCATTAAAAGTGCTTTTCTTACTGGGTTAAATGTGTTCTGCTTCCAAAGGTGCAATGCTCCATGGAAAGCGTGAGCAATGATCATAGAGCCATCTTCATTGAACTGGCAATCATAAAATCCCAGAGTATTTCCACCAACTTCACCTACTCGAACCTTCAGTGACAGAAAATAATTCTCCATCAGTAATCCCATTTCTCACAATGAGAAATCAGATTCCAATGTATACAAAGAGTGAAAATTTACAGTTCTATGAATTCAGATTTGGGACTTAGATATTTGGTTTATAAAGCCCAATTTTGTTTGTTAAATATCCACATTTTTACCTGTTCTAACCAAACTCCTGACTCTTCATCTGGAGCCCAAAGAATCATGGTTTTATCCATTGAAGCAGACAACAATCTCATTGGCTGCTGTAGAACACCATCTAAAGAATAAAAACTAATGCCTTTAGGTGAGCAACAAGCATCATGTTTGCAGAGTACCACACACAAAAAAAGGGAGGGTTATGATAAGAATATTCAATGTAGCAATTTGTAAAACAACAAAAAGGTCTATCATTAGAAAAAGAGATAACAAGTTGTAATACATTCACACAATGGAATACTGCAATGCAACAACAAAAGAATAACCAGGGCTATATGAATCAAATATGTAAACATTTTAACAAATTAAACCCAAACATATTAATGTGGTAAATTTAAAATACTATAAAATATAAATGCAGCGTGATATCAAAGTTTAGGAACTAAAATAATATTGTTTATGGCTGTGTACAAATGTAATAAAGTATAAAAAAAAGCATGGGAATGATTTGCACTGACTTCAGTACTATAAGGTGGATGGAATGGAAAGCTTACAAAGAATATACAGAGCTTCTGAATACCTATAATATTCAATTCTTTTTGTTTTGTTTTGTGCTAGGCCTGGGGCTTGAACTCGGGCCTGGGAACTGTCTCTGAGCTTTTTTGCTAAAAACTGCTAAAAACTAACACTATACCATTTGAGACATAGTTCTACTTTCAGCTTTTTGATGGTTAATTGGAGATAAGTGTCTCACAGACTTTACTGTCCTGGCTGGCTTCAAAGTGTGATTCTCAGATCTCAACCTCCTAAGTAGCTAGGATTACAGACATAAGGCATTGGTGCTAGACTTAACAAAATAATCTTTTGTTGTCTGTCCTGGGGCTTAAACTCCAGGGCCTGGGCACTGTCCCTGAGCCCCTTTGTACTCAAGGCTAGGGCTCTACTACTTGAGCCACAGTGCCATTCCCTGCTTTTTCTGAGTAGTTTATTGTACATAAGACTTTCACAGACTTTCCTGCCCAAGCTGGCTTTGAACCAAGATCCTCAGATCTCAGTCTCTGAGTACCTAGGATTACAGGCGTGAGCCACTTGCACCTGACTAACAACAAATTTAATGGAACCAAGTGACCAATAAACCAGGAATAGTCTTATACTTTGCCAACCTGAAAACATCTTACATATGTAATTTCTAATCAAGTTCAAAAAAATCCTCTAAATGAGAAAAATGAGGGAAGGGGTAACAAGTTTGACAAGAAATATACTTATTAACTTACTTATGTAACTGTTACCCCTCTGTACATCACCTTGACAAAAAAACAAAAAAAAATTAGCAAAAAAAAAATGGCCCCAGTAAAGACTTATTTGGGAAAAAAACAAAATACTATGTCTCAGCTGGTCAGCTTAAAAAACCATGAAATTTAAGCCGGGCGCTGGTGACTCATGCCTGTAATCCTAGCTACTCAGGAGGCTGAATCTGAGGATCGCGGTTCAAAGCCAGCCTGGGCAAGAGAGACCGTGAGACTACTATCTCCAATAAACCACCAGAAAACCGGAAGTGGCGCTGTAGCTCAAGTGGTAGAGCGCTCGCCTTGAGCTGAAGAGCTGAGGGACAGCGCCCAAGCCCAGAGTTCAAGCCCCACGACCGACCAAAAAAAAAAAACAAAACCATGAAATTTAAACTGATCCAGGGATTTACTTATGTTTTCTTCCTACCTTTGTAAAAGGAGGGTTGCCAATGAACTGCATTTACCCAGTTTTCATGACCAGCCAGCACAGTCTCCAGAATAACCGCAAATGTTATTTTAATACCTACAACAAAAACAATAAAACTCAGCCCCTCAAAGCATATCTAAAAAGAACATTTGTATACCCAAATCAAATGTGCAATTATGTCAAAAAATTTGGAAGTAAATATAGTAGTTAAGATTCAAAAAAAGTATATATATTCTAAATTTCATTAACAAGTATATAATGTGTTCAAAATTATAGAAAAAGTTCTGAAAATAAATTTTTCTAGATATTTTTACTTACTTTGTTATGAATAAATATTAAGAATGGTTTACTATTTTTTCTGAAATATACATTACACTGAAATTTAAAAAGTAAAATCATATGCAACATATGCAAATGCTGAAATATCTCATTTACAATTTTTATGATTTTATGTATCAATTAAAGAATATAGAGCTGAGTTGTTGCTCAGTGGTATAACATAATGTGCAAGACTGTGGATTCAATGCATAGTACCATAAAAATTAAATACATTTCAATTTTAGAAATATTTTATGGGTGAAAACAAACTAGCCTCTGTTTCCTAACTCATTATCAAAGTATAAAACATATAAATTAGTATTTTAAAACTTTTTAAATTCTAAAATATCATTTAAAAATAAATGTAGAAATAAGGGGAACTTAATATCTTGGTCTTTATAAGCAAAATAATCAATAAAAATATCATGACAATTTTCTTCTTTGGATACAGCTACTCTCATTAATATGGTGGTTGTATCATTTCTATAAACTTCTATTACCAAAATCTGAATTTTAATGGGCTTTGTAATCAAGAACAGTAAGAAAGGAAAATTCTATCTAAATGAGTGGTGTTTAATGATGCAGGCATGGGCTTTGTTCTAAAGAGAGGATGAAAACCATAATTAGAATATATCACTCAAATGTAGAGATTTAAGTTCAGCCTGCCTCTCTTGAATAGGTATCCAATGAAAAGTCACTATACCATTGCTGTAGGTCTTCTACGCTGACTGAAAATCCAGTAATAACCTGTTGCAAATCAATCTACTAAGAAATATTAATCATTGGGCTGGGAAGTTGCCTTGCATGCATGAGGCCTTGGGTTCAATTCCTCAGCACCACATAAGCAAAAAGAAAAAAGCCGAAGTGGCACTGTGGCTCAAGTGGTAGAGCGCTAGCCTTAAGCTGAAGAGCTGAGGGACAGCAACCAAGCCCAGAGTTCAGGCCCCACAACCAGACCCCCCCCACACACACACAAAAAAAAGAAATATTAATCATTACTTTCAGCATTTAAAAAATTGTATGTAGTGGAAAAAATGTTTTAAATACAAAAAAGGACTCATCTTCACACAAAAATAAAGACATATATAGTATTCGTTTCAGGCAAGGAAATTAAAACTAAACTTCACATAGGAGTGGAGAAATAAATGAGTCAGCTCAAAGAACTAAGTGCTGGCATATCAAATACCATTACTGTTACTCACTTCCACTTTCCACAGTAAAAGTGTTTTCCTTCAGTCTTATATTATCCTGAGCTTCTGAAGATGTGGACTTTATATACAGCTTCCACATTCTTATCAGGCAATCTTGTGAACAGCTTGCTAGGAAAAGATCATTACCTAATTTAAAAAGATATTATATTAAAATCATTGTATAATTTAGGTATAAGATTTTTCAAACTTTTTTTCTAGATTTCTAGATTCCTCACACCCCAAATTCAACTTTGTTTCCTTCCACTACATTAATTTTAGTAACATTAAAAAATACACAATAAGGCAAGTAAGTTCTACAAAAAACTTTTCAAGATCACTGAAAAAGCAAAACAGCTAGTGTTATCTTATTAATATCAATTTGTTTCATTCTATCCACACTTAATAGTTATTCAAAGAGTAGTATACCTTTTTCTTTTCTTTTCTTTTTGTTGGTCATGGGGCTTGAACTCTGGGCCTGGGCATTGTCCCTCAGCTCTTCAGCTCAAGAGGAGTGCTCTACCACTTGAGCCACAGTGCCACTTACAGTTTTCTGGTGGTTTACTGGAGATAAGGAGTCTCACAGACTTTCCTGCCCTGGCTGGCTTTGAACTGCAATCCTTAGATCTCAGCTTCCTGAGTAGCTAGGATTACAGGCATGAGCCACTGACGCCTAGCTTAGTATATACCCTTTTCTAACAGAATATATTTTCTAACAGAAAATATAGCATATAAACATTAAAACTTAAAACAGGAGAGGTGTTTTCCTGCAGTTACATATACTGTTTCTATCATATGTGCTTTAGCAAAGCTTCATACTGACCAAAGGCTGCCCACTCCACACCTCTTATCCAATCCTCATGTCCACGGAGCAAAATCACTTTCTGAAACTAGAAAGATTACAAAGTCAGTGACTTCATTTGTTCTCATTGTATGAGACCAATCCTGTCATACCACTGTTACTGAGAACATACCTAATTACACAAGATAAAGCATTCATTTGGGAATGAAACATATCATCATGTAATATCTAAATAATTAAATGAGCAACTCAGAGTAAATAATCCAAGTGTTTATGAGACAAAATGACACATGCTGTGTATACAGTAAAGAAACAAGTTCAACTTTCATAATTACTTGGATATTGCTCAAATAACAGAGTGCCTGTCTAACAAGTGAAAGGCCCTGTGTTCAAACCCCAGTACCACCTAAAAATAACCCACCCACCCCCCAAAAAAATTAAAAAGCAAGGAAATAAGTATCTTTGTTATTTAATGACAGGGCCCGGTTCTGCTTGTGGAATCTCTCTTATTTTCACTACTCACAATGTAGGTAAATTCATAAAGACATTAAACACTAGTAGTGGGTACTTTCTTAGAGGTATGGTATACTTTATTTAAAAAAAATTTTTTTTTTGGTCATGGGACTTGAACTCTGGGCGTGGGCACTGTCCCTCAGCTCTTCAGCTCAAGGCGAGCGCTCTACCACTTGAGCCACAGCGCCACTTCCATTTTTTTCCTGGTGGTTTATTGGAGATAAGAGTCTTACAGACCTTCCTGCCCGGGCTGGCTTTGAACCGAGATCCTCAGATCTCAGCCTCCTGAGTAGCTAGGATTACAGGCGTGAGCCACCAGTGCTGAGCCATTTAAATTTTTTAAGGAATAAAAAACCCCCACTACAATGGCACTGTCCTTCCCCCACTAACAATCTATTTTCCCCTAACAACTCTGGGCCCACAGCCAAGACCATACTTCTTGAGATTCAAATAGAGTGATTTGGATTACAACATTCCTAAATTTCTATAATTTGGAAATAGTCCATACTCAAATATGTTATATAATTCTAGAACCTAATTCTAATCTTATTAAACACCATTAATTACCTGATCATCTTGTTGAACAAATAAATGAATCCTGCAGTCATCATCACCACATGCTAATATTGGTACTGAAAGGGGAGAAAAGGCACCACTGTAAATACTCCACAAAATTATGAGGATCTATTTCTATTCTAAACTCTGGGTAAAGAATTCTGGCTTCCATTTCCCTCACCACCTGACAAATTGAGTGTTCAATAAATGCTTCCAGGAGTAAAATAGAAACTCTACAATATACTAGTCGATGGTTATGTGTCAAGTAACTAAGAATTAATTGCAGTTTCATTGCCATTCTACATTGTTTTTGATGGATCAGCAAAAGAAGCTCAAGAACAAGTAGGACCCATTTCTACAAGAGAAGACTAAGATGAGAAGTTGATAGTTCAAATGACCAATAAAGAGCTACTCTAGCTGGGCATCAGTGGCTCAATCTGTAATTCTACCTACTCAAGAGGCTGAGATCTAAGGATCTCCATTCAAAATAAACCCAGGGAGAAAAGTCTCAGTCTGTCCCTGAGCTTCTTTGTTTTCAAGGCTAGCACTTTGCCACTTGAGCCACAGTGCCACTTCTGGCCTTTTCTATTTATGTGTTGGGGAATCAAACACAGGGCTTCATGTATGCTAGGCAAACACTCAACTACTAAGCCACATTCCCAGCCTTAGTTGGGTTATTTTTAAGGTAAGAGTTTCTCAGACTTTTCTTCCCAAGATGGCTTGAAACTTGATTCTCTGGATCTCGGCTACTTACATAGTTAGGCCTATAGGCATGAGCCATTGGTGCCTGGTTTTACTTATATTTTCAACAGCTACCAAAATTCTCAATAGCTTGTAAATTTGTGATCTATGCTTAGGTCATTAGAATACTGTAGCAAAGGTATGTTAGCTACCTCAAAATTGATTCATAAAAACACTGAGTACAGGGCTATGAGTCTAGCTCAATGGTGGAATACTTGTCTAGCATATGTGAGGTCCTCTGTTTTATCCCCAGCACCACAGAAAAAACAAAAATACAAACATTTGGATAGAATATACTCATATACTCACCATCAGTATTAGGCAAAAAAGACAAGCAGACAGCTAGAGCAAATCCACTTTCAAAGTTCAAGGTCTGAAGGCATGTCACTAAGAAATAACAACAACAACAACAAAAATCATTGGGTAGCATCATCACAGATCTGGGTGTCAGCAGGGAGACAAGTCAATCCTGAGCTCTTACTGATTGATTATGTGAGGCCAAATGGCCAAATCTTAACAAGATTGCAGCAAACAAAATGATTCATATGAAAAGATTCAGAAGAAACTTGCATTGTTTAATAGTCTGGAATAGAGGTGCTTTGAAAAAGTATTTTCAAGAAAGAAACACTTAGATTTTAATTAACATTTTTAAAGTTGCTTTAAAGTTTGAGAAAAATTATGTGCTCTTCTAGCTGTTGTTAATATGGTAATTACTACTTTGGTTACTTGGATTAAAATGTCTCCACCTACCTTCTGAACCCTTTTTAGTCCAGAGTCGAACAGTAGAATCTGCAGCTGCAGAAACTATCAATGTGTGCCATACAGCATCTGCTGCCCTCCTCTGGTAAACAGCATGCACCGCATAGACTGGCCCTTCATGGCCTTGGAGATGAATTGCTTTTAATAGCTGAATCAGAAAAAAATGAAATATTAAGAAAAATGGGATTATGTTTCACCTTAACTTAGTTGTAATCATTGGATTAAAGGTACCATTAAAATGTCTGGCCCCTCTCAGATTGTTTAATCCAGAAATAGGTTCTCTAAATTAAATAGAATGAAAACTTTCAAGAACTCTGTCCTAAATTAAATAGAATGAAAACTTTCAAGAACTCTGTCTGGACAGGTTAACAGCACTCAAAAAATGTGCACAACTTTTGACACAATCTCAAATCTAAGAATTTACTCTGGGAATAGTATTTGTGTAACAAATAATATTAAAAGAAAAATATATTCACCACATAAGAGTTTATGATAGTAAAAAAAACTGCAATCAACCTAAAATTATTTTCAAAAGGTTAGCCAGGCACCAGTGGCTCATACCTATAATACTAGCTACTTAGGAAGCTGAGATCTGAAGATTCCAGCTCAAAACCAGCACACTCAGGAAAGTTTGTGAGACTCTTATCTCCAATTAACCACCAAAAAGCTGGAAGTAGCACTATGGTTCAAGTGGCAAAGTGCTAGTCTTGAGTAAAAAAAAAGCTGAGGCACAATGCCCAGGCCCTCAGTTCAAGTCCCAGGACTAGCACAACAACAAAAACAAAAGGTTAAATTGGTTAAGTAAATTATACATACACTATAGCCAATAAAAAGGATAATGGGATAAATACATTCCTACATGGCATTTGTTTGTGGCATGGCTCTCCTTCTAAATTAGCATAATGTCTCCTTATAAATACAGCAGAATGTATATTCTGACAGAATCACTACAAAAATTCAGAGAAAAAAGTCAGTTTATCTGAGCTAAAGGTAGTATTTGCCAGTTTTCTTTCACAGTGGAGTTAAATTCTTAGAGTCAAACTAGATCATATGCTGAGAATGAGCAAATAAGTCTATATCAAACTGTTTTTTTTGGTAGGGTACTCAGTGCCTCATGCTTTCTAGGCAGGTAATCTATCACTTCAGCCATACTCTCAACCCATTCTGCTTTAGTTACTTTTGGAGTAGAACCTCACACTTTTGCCTGGATCCCAATCCTCCTATTTTTGCCTCCTACATAGCTGGAATGAGGACAACTACCACCATATTCACAACCCCACTCAGTCTGTTGAGACGTGGAGTTTCACTAGCTTTTTGCTCAGGCTGGCCTCTCATCTCCACCTCCAAATTAGCTGGGATTACAAGAATGAACCACCACATACAATGTACCATCAAACTTTCACCAAGTACTATTTTAATATTCATTTATAATAGTTACCTAAGTGTGACTATAAAACAGAAAAAAATGGAACCAAGAAATAAATATCATTGCGTATTAGGTCTATCCATTTGCCACACAACATTCCCTATGGTATCCCTTCCACAGACATCCTTTTTTCCAGTGCTAAGCATCAAACTTTGAGCCTGGCATAAGTTAGGTAGTAACTAGCTACATCTCCAGCCCAGGTATTTGTAAAACTTTCTTTCAAATTTGTTAGATTCTGCTCATTCCTTTGACAGGTAATGTACCTTGAATGGCTCTTCAGTTATCTTTCCAATTACTTGACCAGAGCCTCTGCCACTCAAGATATTAGCTAGATTGGCACCCAGTGGCTCAAGACTGTAATTCTAGCTACTGAAAGACTGTGATTGGGAGGATCACAGTCTAAGGGTGGCCTAGAAGAAAGTTCATGAGACCACTGGTAAATAGAGAGTTAAAAAGGGTGGTGTGTACCTGTTGGCTAAACTGAGAAGCTGAAAATAGGTGAATTGCACCTGAATGCATACATTTCCTAAAAACATTAAACCTATGGAAAATATTCATTTCATATTTTTAGTAAGGCTGCATTTGAAGTATGAGAAATTATATAAAAACACAAATAATTCAGAAAGAAAACACCCTTCAAGTTGACCAACTTTTTAATGAAAAATACTCATGTTCAATCACTCAAATCTCTCATTACATTAGCTTAGAATTATTTCCTTTTGAAAGTGGAGGTGTGGCTCAAATGGTACAGTGTCAGTTGTGAGCAAGAGTATGACGTCTTGCGTACCATCACACACACACACACACACACACACACACACACACACACACAAATTATCAGCAGTCAAGGTGCACTGAGCATCTGTGCGCATGAAAATGAATATGGGAGAGTATGTGTGGCCCTTTCCCACATTGGATCCTTTTATTCTCTTTCTCTTTTATGCCTTCCAAGCACCTTTTCCCTCCTCTCTCTATCCCATTTCTGCTTTACCCCCACAAGTCTGCTCTCTGCCATCAGATCCTTGCTTAACCTGTAATCTCTCAACTGTCAAGAGTTTAGGAGGGGCAGCACTGAGGAAAATCTTCCAAGTCTCACCTCAAGGTCCCAAAACAAGTGTTCATAAATGCCTCTATGTGGCTTTCTCTGCCAAGGTTAGTTCAAGCAAGAGCCAAGTTTTCAACATTACTATCACTCTGGTGCTGTCATTCTAGTCCAAGTGTCTCCAAAATTCCACCCTCATACCTGCTCTCTAATTCTGAGAATAAGTCTGGGTATCCAATAAACAATTTAAATGACATATGTGCAAGTGGTTTCATATTTTCCATCCTTATTTTTTCCCTGTAAAAGCTGCTTTCTCCAAAAGACCTACATCAAGAATCCCATCATTTTTGATGACTCATTCCCTGTCCATCATATTATACTCTTTTTCCAACCAACTTATCAATGCCAAAGTCATTTCTCCTTTAAAATAAAACACTCATATTGTTTCTCAGGGTCTTTAATGCTAGGATTACAGACATATCTGAGTCAAAGAACAAAGCTAGTACTCAAATACCCATATGGTTTTCTCCTAGTCTTCTCTAGTATTATTGCCCACAATGTATTACTTAGTAACATTTCCAAAACTGTATTCCTCAGAATTCCAAGAAATGCAAAGAGATTTAATAGTGGGGGTAAAAAGAGATACCTATGTCTGAAATTTTTCCTCACTCCTCTCATATATGCCAAGGTAATAACCCCACACTTTAAAATCCACCTGGAGGGCTGGGAAGGTGGTTCAGTGGTAGAGTGCTTGCCTTGCATGCCTGAGGCCCTGGGTTCGATTCCTCAGCACCACATAAGCAAAAAGAAAAAAGCTGGAAGTGGCACTGTAGCTCAAGTGGTAGAGTACTAGCCTTGAGCTGAAGAGCTGAGGGACAGCGCCCAGGCCCAGAGTTCAGGCCCTACGACCGGACCAAAAAATAAAATAAAATCCACCTGAAACACTATCTCTTCCATTTTTTTTTAACTTTCACAGCACTACGGTTGTGATGTAGCATGTTACTACACCTACCATGCAGTCACTTTTTTTTATAAGTTTTTTATTGTGAAAATACTATACAAAGGGGTTACAGTTACATGAGCAAGCATTGTTGCCTCCTCCTTTGTTTTTCCCCTACCATCCTTTCCCTCCCACCTCCACAATTACACTCCCCCTACCCCCCAGTGTCTTGTACATCTCATTGTTACAGTGCATCAACCTGTCACTTTTATTTTAGTTTTTTATTCATATACATTTTCTCTTCAAACTGAACCTGACTCATAGACAGACTCTATATCTTCTTTGTATAAAATTAAGTACATTAACCTTTCTCATTTTGGGGTGGGGGAGGAGCAGGGAAGGGAAGGGTATGGCACCAAGGCTAGAACTCAGGGCCTCTGACTCTCACTTGACTTTTTGCTCACAGTTGACACTTAACTGCTTGAGCCATGCCTCCAGATCATCCTTTTCACTAGTTAATTAGAGATAAGAGTCTCAAGAACTTTTCTGGCCCATATCCTGATTTCAGCTCCTGAGAGCTAGGATTACAGGTATGAGCTGGTACCTGGCTCCTCTACACTTTTAATCTTAATTTACAGCTAGAAACAATTTAAACAGTCCATTGATACAATTTGGCCATTTAATTGCACATGGTGAGTGGGGGCTCAGGAATGACTTCACTCATTTCCCTGCTGACACCCAGAGCTATCACAATGCTACTAATGCTACTCAATCCCTCTAGAAAGATAAATCAGAGTTCGTTGCTCACAGAGGGTGTTTTTTGTTGTCTTCTTTGGGAAATATACAGGCATTAACCTTTGCCACTTTTTTTTTTTTGGTCATGGGGCCTGAGCTCTGGGCCTGGGTGCTGTCCCTCAGCTCTTCAGCTCAAGACGAGCAGTCTACCACTTGAGCCACAGTGCTACTTCCAGCTTTTTCTGCTTAGGTGGTGCTGAGGAATCAAACCCAGGGCCTCATGCATGCAAGGCAAGCACTCTACCACTGACCTACCTTCCCAGCCCCACCTTTGTCTTTTAATAGTTGCTTACAACTAGAAACAACTTCAACTGTTCATCAAAAAAGTCCCATCTCTATTGTAAATTACAAATAACTTCACTTGGCATTATGGAGCTCTATATTCCTATGGCAGCAGCTGCCTTATGAACAGTTTTATTATTTTACTTTTATTATTTATCTTAATTGTATAATTTATTAAGAATTAATTTATTATCTTTAAAAATAGGACAGTTCATATAAAAAGTGTGAAAATTAATGCAAAGTAACACAGATGATTGACAACATATGAACATGGAAGCAGAAATTACTAAAAAGGCTACAGGAGTATGAAGTATACAAGATAAACAATTTATGCCATATGTAGTTATGAATAACTATAATCCCAGCACTCAGGTTATAGCAGAAGGTCAAGAATTCAAGGAAAGCCTCAGGTACATACCAACATTCTTTCTCAAAAGCAAAGATAAAGTATCTGGGCTACAAATAAGCAAAAATAAGAAAACTTCATAAAGAAGAAACAGAAGAAATGATGGAAAAACAAAATAAAAGCAGAAAAAAAGTCATTTGTTATCATTTCTACCTACCTGATTATTCTCTATTTCCCAATGAATGACTTGATTGTCAGATCCTCCAGAGACTAATTCAGTAGAAGGAGCTAAAAAAAAATTGAATTTCAGTAAATATATTTATATGCAAAACCTACTAGTTTTTCTGTAGGTTAACATCTAGCCCTACTTGCTTAATGGCTTGCATTTGTTCTATATGTATGAACAATTTTTTTCTTTGGAACTTAAAAATTAAATTGCTTAACGGATCACTGGATGAAGAAACTATGGTATATATTTATAATGGGTATTCATATGTGGAAGCAGTAAGAGGACCTCAATGTAGAAAAATCTGGGAAGGTGGCCACAGGGAAGCAGGGAGGAGACAGAAATGGGTAGACAGAATCAATCAGTGCATGATGTATGCATGTATGGAAATATCACAGTGAATTGCATTAATCTGTGCAATTAATGTGTTAATAACTATAAGGAATAAGTTGCACACACTTATTTCTTACATGTCCTAAGGAATGGAACATTTTCTACAGTACCATAATGATCACATTCAAAGACTAGGGAGGGACTTTGATAAAAAGTTAATGAGAACAGAGTCACTGTTGTACATTTCTTCAGATCTTTTTAGCATCTGACTTTATTAAACTCCATCTAGATTTTCCTATCTGATTCTGAATTTAATCAGCTGAGAAACCATACATCATATGACTGCTTGAAAGTTACCATATACTCATGACAGAATGTAAATAAAAACTGTAGTATCTTAGTACTATGTGAATAATTTTGATGTAAGAGTCCTCCAATCCCGCCCAAACTTTAACTTTTCATATGATGCAAACAGAGATACAATGTCTTGTCTGAAAAAGGAATAGCTTAGCTAAGCACTAGGGTTCACACCTATAATCCTAGGTATTCAAGAGACTTTAGATTAGCCCCAGCAGAACAGTTTTCTACATTCCTCTAAGTTAACTGGCCACAAAAAAAAAAAAAAGTAGGCCTAGAAACATGGCTGAAGAGCACTAACCTAGGAAACAAGACTCTGAGTAAAATCTCAGACTCAACAAAAAAAAAAAGTCCACCAGGCAGAAACAGATATAGAAATTATGTTATCTGAATGTCATCTCAGCCTACACTGTGCTTAGAAGTTTTTAATCAAAGGTTATGGGCAAATACAAGAATATAAGATAGCTCCCTTACTCTATCAAGACCAAAATGGAGGGGCTGGGAAGGTGGCTCGGTGGTAGAATGCTTGCCTTGCATGCATGAGGCCCTGGGTTCGATTCCTCAGCACTACATAAACAGAAAAAGCCAGAAGTGGCACTGTGGCTCAAGTGGTAGAGTGCTCACCTTGAGCTGATAGACAGGGCCCAGGCCCAGAGTACAGGCCCCATGACCAACAAGAAAGGGAAGGAAGGAAGGAAGGAAGGAAGGAAGGAAGGAAGGAAGGAAG